TGTATTTAATTTTTTTATTTTATTAATTGGAATCTAAGCATATCATAATTCAATTACTTTAATAGCATATTTTACTTCCTGAGATAATTAAAATATATCAGGAAAATATAATATGTTCATATGTTTAGGTTTATTGAATATTTCCTTATTATGCGTATTTACACAAATGTGATAATCACACATACATTCTTAAATACACGTACGCTGATGCTTGCTTCTTCTTGCCCCGCACAAGCAATGACTTTTGTCTACGCTTTTTGCTTTTTGCGAGTTGAACGATCGCAGGCAAGGAGGGATTGGGGCGCACCGCCACATAATTATTTCAGATATATATTTTATTTATCGAATTCAGTTTGAAAACGATTATAGGTATGAATTTATTTATATAATATATATTATAGTACGAAAATAATTCATAAATGCATCAGTATTTTTCAATACAAATTAAGCAACATATCAATATATTATGAGCCCTCACTTGACACGCCTATGTGCATGGTGGCAAGCCAACGAAATAACGGCGAGTTCGCGCGGACATTGTGTTGTTGAAAAAAACCAAATGACGACTTTGCCGACAAACATACATATTTATATACATACATACAAACGAGCTCGCATACATATTGACGCCAAATTTTGCGCATCGTCGCGGAGTTGACAAAATTTGTTTCAATCGACAATTTTGCGACAATGTCGATCGGCTATGTTGTCTCGTTTGTCCTTTTTGCAGTGGTTTGCTATTGAAAGTTGACTTATGCTCTTTTGAAATATTGCGATTACCAATTGGGCTGCATTTTCATAGCGTCGTATTTAGATAAAATGGGCTAAATCGACAAACTATGAAATGATGATAATAAGTAAACATATAAAAGTACTATATGGACTGTGCTTAGAATATATAGAAGTAGTTAATGATTTCATATGAATGTCAATTTGATATAAATTTTATAATTTAATGCCATAAATAGTGCATAATATGCAAAAATGTAAATATTATTTAAACTCGCTAAGAGGTCATGTTGCCAATTCTCCTTTTTGAAGTGAACATCAGACAAATTCTTCAATTTCTGATTTTTAGCAAATGTTGTGAGGAAGCAGCTTGTTGGCAACATACAAACGCGAGGGGGATGGTAGGATTTTCAGTGATACAAATTGTAAAATTGAAATTTTGCTGATTCTTCAATTTTACTGAAGACATTCAATTCAAATTCAATTTCATTCATTTTTATGCGCATTTGTGGTAGCAATTCTATATGAAAACCAAATGTGGTTTACCAGGCGCACAGAAAAAATAGCGCGGCGCAGAGTTATGAACGAACGCACTTTGCTTTGAAGCAGCGCACGTTCCTTATGAATGAATTTGTTGTCGTTGTAATATGAAATACTTAGAAAATATGCCGCGAGTTCGCTTGAATATTATTGGCCGATGATGGTGCGTCTACGTTTTTTTTGTCACTTGCGCGAGTGTTTGACTTTTTGCGAAAGACATATTGATGGACATACATATGTACATATGTGTACATATATGCAAATATATTTGGACATGCGAATGAAGGAAGGCAATTTCAAGAATATTCACATATAGGCATATGAACATTGAAGCAAGTAAACAACAATAGCTGTTTGAGTTCACAGATTAGTCAAAGAAGCATGAATATTGTCTGTGGTGCTGCTTGTATAGCAGACTTGTTTATTGCAACGTGAAATATTTCGCCTAAGTTCAAATCCTATCATATTTTTATATAGTCTTTTTTTATTTTTAAAACCCTTTTTTATTAAATGATATTTTAATTCTATTTTCATATTATTTCCCTCATTATTTATATTTTCTTGTCGGAAGTCAATTAGTCAATTAATTTCGTTTTTATTATTTCAATTTTTGTTTATGCGCATCTCAAAGAACATCTCTGCATATGTATGTATATACATTTTGCTTATAGAGTGGTGTAGTTCGTTGCGTAAATTGACAGCTGTGGTGACATTTTATTTTCGAACTTGCGCGTTTTCGATGTTCCTTCTTAGCAATTAACATTTTAGTACTGCTAACATTTGCTCCTTCTCTACTCATCAACATTCTCTGGTTACATCATTGGTGCTGCGCTATACTATTGAGGAGCATCTGTTGTTTGATCGCTTACATCAGCATAGATCAACGAACTGAGTTTAAATAACCTACATTGTTCGCTTCTTATATGAGAAGTTCATAATAATATAATCAGAAAAAGTAATATCTTATCTTATAGTGCAAACATAAACATTCAGTCACAAAGAGAACCATTTACAGCTTTAGCCAATTTTCAATTAAGAGAATATTTTCCCGTATGTATGCACTTATGCAGATAAATTTGTTTTTGTGATTATTGTTTATAATCAGGTAAAGAACTTTTACAGTTGCGGCTGTAATTGCTTTAATATGGGCGATTATGACGTTACCGGCAATTATAAGCAACATTGGAGTGATATGTCCAATGATTACCAACAACCGCAACAACAAAAACAACAATTAGCCACGGTAACACCAGAGAATGTTGATGAGTAGAGAAGGAGCAAATGTTAAATGAAAACTTTTTGAGTACTAATTTGTAATTCCACAAGAGGGAACATCGAAAAGTATAACTTCGAAAAAGAAAAATACACCACACAATATGCGAAATGCTATAAATAGACACAACGAATATTCCTATATGAAAAATCGTTGCGCATACCTATTTAGATTTATGTTTTCAATTTCTATGATATGACAAATTTATAATTATGAAAAACCTTTTGAATTAAAAATCTGTATTACCGGTAAAAACCCCAGAATTCATAATAAAATAAACATTTAATAAGCTAGTTTTCTAACTTATGTATGTGCGTTGCGTAAGCAATATACTTATTAAACAAATGATAATAATAAAACGGTGGCTAAGCGGCCACGTTTCCACTTTTGTGGTGGCTTATGTCGTAAGCGCGAAGGAGTTAAGCTCATTCCGAATACGAGCATATACGTTCGAATCGTAAAATACATAAAATTAAAATTGTATATAATTTTTTTATTTTATTAATTGGAATCTAAGCATATCATAATTTAATTACTTTAATAGCATATTTTACTTCCTGAGATAATTAAAATATATCAGGAAAATATAATATGTTCATATGTTTAGGTTTATTGAATATTTCCTTATTATGCGTATTTACACAAATGTGATAATCACACATACATTCTTAAATACACGTACGCTGATGCTTGCTTCTTCTTGCCCCGCACAAGCAATGACTTTTGTCTACGCTTTTTGCTTTTTGCGAGTTGAACGATCGCAGGCAAGGAGGATTGGGGCGCACCGCCACATAATTATTTCAGATATATATTTTATTTATCGAATTCAGTTTGAAAACGATTATAGGTATGAATTTATTGGTATATATATATAATATATATTATATTACGAAAATAATTCATAAATGCATCAGTATTTTTCAATACAAATTAAGCAACATATCAATATATTATGAGCCCTCACTTGACACGCCTATGTGCATGGTGGCAAGCCAACGAAATAACGGCGAGTTCGCGCGGACATTGTGTTGTTGAAAAAAACCAAATGACGACTTTGCCGACAAACATACATATTTATATACATACATACAAACGAGCTCGCATACATATTGACGCCAAATTTTGCGCATCGTCGCGGAGTTGACAAAATTTGTTTCAATCGACAATTTTGCGACAATGTCGATCGGCTATGTTGTCTCGTTTGTCCTTTTTGCAGTGGTTTGCTATTGAAAGTTGACTTATGCTCTTTTGAAATATTGCGATTACCAATTGGGCTGCATTTTCATAGCGTCGTATTTAGATAAAATGGGCTAAATCGACAAACTATGAAATGATGATAATAAGTAAACATATAAAAGTACTATATGGACTGTGCTTAGAATATATAGAAGTAGTTAATGATTTCATATGAATGTCAATTTGATATAAATTTTATAATTTAATGCCATAAATAGTGCATAATATGCAAAAATGTAAATATTATTTAAACTCGCTAAGAGGTCATGTTGCCAATTCTCCTTTTTGAAGTGAACATCAGACAAATTCTTCAATTTCTGATTTTTAGCAAATGTTGTGAGGAAGCAGCTTGTTGGCAACATACAAACGCGAGGGGGATGGTAGGATTTTCAGTGATACAAATTGTAAAATTGAAATTTTGCTGATTCTTCAATTTTACTGAAGACATTCAATTCAAATTCAATTTCATTCATTTTTATGCGCATTTGTGGTAGCAATTCTATATGAAAACCAAATGTGGTTTACCAGGCGCACAGAAAAAATAGCGCGGCGCAGAGTTATGAACGAACGCACTTTGCTTTGAAGCAGCGCACGTTCCTTATGAATGAATTTGTTGTCGTTGTAATATGAAATACTTAGAAAATATGCCGCGAGTTCGCTTGAATATTATTGGCCGATGATGGTGCGTCTACGTTTTTTTTTGTCACTTGCGCGAGTGTTTGACTTTTTGCGAAAGACATATTGATGGACATACATATGTACATATGTGTACATATATGCAAATATATTTGGACATGCGAATGAAGGAAGGCAATTTCAAGAATATTCACATATAGGCATATGAACATTGAAGCAAGTAAACAACAATAGCTGTTTGAGTTCACAGATTAGTCAAAGAAGCATGAATATTGTCTGTGGTGCTGCTTGTATAGCAGACTTGTTTATTGCAACGTGAAATATTTCGCCTAAGTTCAAATCCTATCATATTTTTATATAGTCTTTTTTTATTTTTAAAACCCTTTTTTATTAAATGATATTTTAATTCTATTTTCATATTATTTCCCTCATTATTTATATTTTCTTGTCGGAAGTCAATTAGTCAATTAATTTCGTTTTTATTATTTCAATTTTTGTTTATGCGCATCTCAAAGAACATCTCTGCATATGTATGTATATACATTTTGCTTATAGAGTGGTGTAGTTCGTTGCGTAAATTGACAGCTGTGGTGACATTTTATTTTCGAACTTGCGCGTTTTCGATGTTCCTTCTTAGCAATTAACATTTTAGTACTGCTAACATTTGCTCCTTCTCTACTCATCAACATTCTCTGCTTTAAGTGCTTCAGTTGTTTTGTTGTTGTGTTGGTGAAGTGTTGAAGAATATATAAAGACGGAGCTGCATTTAAAAATTAGACTACAGCGCTTCCTGGTTGAAAGGAAATGGATTGCGACATCTAGCGTCGTGAAACTACACTCTGCGTATAATTGTGAATTGAAAAGATGGTGACAGAGAACGTATATTACGTATACAATTTTTGTGCCAGCTGAGTTTTGTTTATCATTTGCATTGCGATGTGCAATCATTCAATTTCACTTGCATTAATTCAATTTCACTCGCTCAAATTGGAATTTCGGAAACGCGTATCAAATACAATGGGAGAACGACATTTCTCAAACTTATTCAGAAATTAAATGAGCCAGTCCAATCAGATGGGAATCATTTACGTACACATGCATGCATACACGTACATTCATTAAGATTTTAAATCGAAAAGATGTTAAATTAATTGATTCAATTGTATGGCCAAGACGATCAAAGAAAGTGCTGTCAGAAAGAAAGCTATTTTTTAAAATTTTTTGTAATAAATAATAGAAAAATTTGTTTAACAAGATTACACCAATTATTTTTGCAGCGTTGTTAAAAACCGTGTATTCGTGTATAAATATACTTACCTCTCCTTGGCTTACGTTCAAAGGTTACATCATTGGTGCTGCGCTATACTATTGAGGAGCATCTGTTGTTTGATCGCTTACATCAGCATAGATCAACGAACTGAGTTTAAATAACCTACATTGTTCGCTTCTTATATGAGAAGTTCATAATAATATAATCAGAAAAAGTAATATCTTATCTTATAGTGCAAACATAAACATTCAGTCACAAAGAGAACCATTTACAGGTTTAGCCAATTTTCAATTAAGAGAATATTTTCCCGTATGTATGCACTTATGCAGATAAATTTGTTTTTGTGATTATTGTTTATAATCAGGTAAAGAACTTTTACAGTTGCGGCTGTAATTGCTTTAATATGGGCGATTATGACGTTACCGGCAATTATAAGCAACATTGGAGTGATATGTCCAATGATTACCAACAACCGCAACAACAAAAACAACAATTAGCCACGGTAACACAAATACCAAAGCAATATGAAAATGTTAAAAATGTGGATGAAATTGAAAGCGCGCTGGCGAGTTTTGGGGAAGAGGCAGCGATTTCAGTATGCCTAACATCGCAATCGGAGCGGTTGACAGTTTCTCGATTAAGGGGTGGTCACGATTTAGACAGCAACTATTTACTGAACAGGTAAGCGTTTATCTGGTATTTTAGAGACTTATTGCAGTGAACTCTCATAATCGAATTTGGTAAAAAATTTCCATTTTATAGCAACAAAACATCAAACAAAATTTCAAACTTGTTTATGTTTAAAACAAAATCTATTTGAACTTGTTTAATTGTCTCAAAAAGATTTCTAGTGTAACTTAGCACCATTTAAATATATGTTGGGTACACTCTAGGAATTGCAAGATTATCTTTAAATTTGATTTAGATCCTTTTTGAATAAAAACTAATAAACAGTTAACAGCTAATCGGTTTATTTTTCAGTTTATTTTAGTTTATTTATTTTTATTACTATTTATACATATATTTTTTGTTTAAGTAGACAAGTATACAAATATAGAGTACAAAAGGGTTGAGGTGGAAATATTAGCTTGCTACGTATCACATTCTGTCGATTCCGCATATGTAAATTATATATGAATACATATATTATTATATACATATAAACTTGTGCCCACGCAAACCTGCATACATCACATTTAGTATATTATTACCAAAAAACAGTTTGGCTTATAACGTATTTCGAAAGACATAACATTAACTAAATAAATCCGAATAAACAGATAAATTGACTTCAAAAGGTTTTCTACAATTATGTTAAGTATTTTCCGTTCTGTTTGCCTACAGCTAGATATTCCACAAAAAAACTAAATATGCCGTCAATATAAACAAAACAACTGTCATTCAATTACAATTACACATTAAATTGATATTTTCCCAAAAACGTTCATCGGAAAGGTTTTTCGAACCGAAAGTGTACATATTTGACACTAACAAATTATAAAAATTGTTACTACAAAAACGATAGTAAACAATTTTTTTGTATTTTTTGTAACGTGATATACAAAAGTAAAAATAAATCTGCATTACTTTTAATTAATTAAACTTTATTTTATTATAATAATAACATGAAACGAAATTTATAATTGAAAAAAATATGACACTAATGAATGTAAGTAGAGCGTTTATATTTACAGGGCGCCAAAAAAATTAAAAAATCGCGTATGTGTTTAAAAAACTTTAAATTGCAGATGCCCCTCCCTAAAGTGATCCTGTATACCAAATAACAGTCTTGTATCTTATTATGGAGCTTAGTTATCGCAATTTATTTGTTTTTACTTAATGGCGTTTTGTGGACGTGGCAGTGGTCCGTTACGCCCATCTGCAGTACCAACCGTCTTACGATACCAAGAAACATGTGTACCAAGTTTCATAAAGATATCTCAATTTTTACTCAAGTTACAGCTTGCACGGATGGACAGACAATCACCCGGATTTCAACTCGTCTCTTCATCCTGATCATTTATATATATACCTATAACCCTCTATCTAATTCGATTAGTTTTAGGTGATACAAACAACCGTTAGGTGAACAAAACTATTATACTCTGTAGCAACAGCTTGCGAGAGTATAAAAATGGAAGAGACTACGAGCTCTTAGCTTTTTGATTGAGGGTATTATACTGAAAAAAAAAAAAAACTGAATAAGTTGTTGTATGGAAGATATGTGATATAATTATCCGATTGTGTTTATTTTCATCGTCATTGTTAAGTATAACTGCAAAATTACGTACTCTTAGCTTTTTAATTAAAGGCAGGCAACCGGAAATTAAAATAACTGAATACTCGATTATATGGAAGATATGTGATATATTTATCCGATAGTGTTTATTTTCACCGTCATTGTTAAGTATAACTGCGAAATTACGTACTCTTAGCTTTTTAATTAAAGGCAGGCAACCAGAAATTAAAATAACTGAATACTCGATTGTTTGGGAGATATGTGATATAGTTATCCGATCTGACCGATTCCGACAAATGTTCAATATAATGTCAAAAAGTATGTATTGAATTTCATTCGGATATCTCAAAAACTGACGAAGAAAATTTTATAATCCCTAACAATAAAACGTTTCTTAGGCAAAGTTGTTCATAATAATCCGTAGAACATTTCCCGCATATACGATTTTATTGAAAAAAATCGACCCGCTCTAATGTATATATAATTGTTATTTGAAAAGTAAAAGATTGGTCTTTACCGATTGCCTAATCATATATGTTTATGACACCCATTAAGACGTGCTAGCCTTAACTATTTATGGTTCTTTGATAGAGTGAAATGTGCAGACATGTTTTTTGTTATACATACATATATCTCACAACATATTGCACAGAGTATACAAGTTTTGTTCACCTAGCAGTTGTTTGTATCACCTAAAATTAATAGAGATAGATATGGAGTTATATATATAATATATAAATGATCAGGGTGACGAAACGAGTTCAATTCCGAGTGACTGTCTGTCTGCCAGACCGTCCGTGCATGCGATAACTTGAGTACATATGTTTATTGGCACCCAAGGAGGGTTGGCATCATCTTTCTGGTAATTATAAAATGGGGTCAAAATATTCCCTAGCCCCCATATATTTTATATAAGAAAAATAATATAAATTAAATAAGAATTTCAAACTTCCGGTTAGCTTTATACTGTATATAATAGTATATATGTAGTCAATATGTAGGATATCTTAACAAAAACGGAACGGAACGGCCGATATCGGACCACATATATACATATAGCTGCCATACAAACTGAACGATCGGAATAAAGTACTTGCATGGAAAACTTTTTTATTTGACGAGATGTCTTCACAAAATTAGACACGAGTTACAACAATGAATTCTCCGAAGAAATAGTTCAGATTAGATCCCTATATCATATAGCTGCCATATAAATTGAACAATCGGAATCAAGTTCTTGTACGAAAACTTTGTATTTGTGAAGTGTATTATAGCTTCGGTGGATCCGAAGTTAACGTTTTTTCTTGTTTAATATAAATTTTTGCAACACATAAAAGTATTTCACCGACTTTGATCTTTTCAAATTGCGAGAGTTAAAGGTGTTTAGTTACATCCAAACCTAGCCTTTCCGCACTTGTTTTTATTATAATTTTTGTATGTGATATTTCAAGACTTATTCTTTCAAACCATTTTTTTTTGTATGGAATTAGTATTTAAAATCGTCGGTAACATGGTTTTTTCTATGCGATAATTTTTTCTGATAATACCGCATTGGGCAAAGTTCGGAGTATATAGTATGTATACAAAAAAAAAAAATAATATACATACATACATTGTGTTGTATATATTAACTTGATTTATGATAAGTAAGTTGTAAAAAGATATTCTAAATAGTTAAAAAGTAAATAAATTTGTAAATCAAATCAAATTTCACTAATTAGAAGTGTACAACATTGATTATTTAATTAAATGGATATGTGTGTATAAAAATTTATTTAAAGATTAGTCTTTGAAATCGAAAAAATCTTTTGATTTGAGCCAAATTAAAGAGAAAAAATAACAATTCCGAAGAAAGTACTTTGTACGCATTCATTCGCTTATTAGTAGTGATTATTGTGTGTTCATATGTGTACATATAATTTTTATTAAGAAGCGTCTATGCTTTTATTTCAGCTACAAAGCATTTTATTGATATTTGAACAAGTTGGTTGGTGATTTCCACAAAATTAAGTATAAATAATGTACTATATACTAGAAACCTACGCTAATGCATATAGGAATATGTATAAAAATCCATCTGAACACTTTACAAATATTTTCTATACCGAGCGCTAGCACAAAACCTGTTAGCACTTATATTGTTTAATTAGTTATTAAGTTGACGCTGAAATTTCGTGTTTTAACTTTTTTACAGAAACAATCAGATACCTCAGCAAAAAAAAATGTTCGGAAAGATGACTAACATTGCGAAGAATCGAAACTTTATAGTAGATTTATTGGCCATATTTTTTGGTATTGGAACATGGATAGGTGTAAACGGTAACTATTTTAACATTAGAAAAATATTAGTAAATTTTTTTTTAATGATTTGGTTTTGTTAAGGTACCTTCATTCAAGTACCCTTGCTGGTTAAGGAAGCGCCGGAAAGTTGGAGTTTACCATCGTATCTTAGTATTGCTGTGCAAATTGGCAATATCGGTCCTATCACATACACTTTAATACAACATTTCTTAAAAAAAAGGATAAGCGATGCGCTTTTTATTTATATACTATTGGTGCTTGGCACATTGTCGGCTATATTCACTAGCTTCTTTTACGAGAAAACTGTGATGATATTTGGCGAGGAGAGGAGCTTAGCCTTGTATATACTTACTTTTGTATCCGCGCTTACTGCATGTACGAGTTCGGTACTTTTCATACCCTATATGGGTCGTTTTAAGGAAATGTACTTAGTAACGTAAGTTCAAAACGATTTATTGATTTAGCATGTGTTTTGTGCATAATTTGAGTTATTTTTATTCAAAGAAAATTATATTATTAGATATTTTGTTGGAGAGGGATTAAGTGGCATGCTGCCAAGTGTTGTATCACTTATACAAGGAATAGGTGGCGACGCCGAATGCATCTTGGTAAACACCACCACATCTGGTGAAGAAATATTTGAGAAAGTAAATCCACCCGCACGTTTTAGTCCAATGGAATATTTCCTTTTTATATTCGTTATATTTTTATGCAGTGTAATTGCGTTTACATTGCTCGATCGCCTTAAATTGGCCAAACGTGAATATGCTGCAGGTCAAATCGATTTTGGCAACAGTTATAAATATGAAGAGAACAACGCAACAAATACTATAGATGCTGTAGCTAACGATTCAACAGAGAAGCAAGCGAATTCAACACATATTTCCTCAACAGAATATGTTGCACTATTGCTGCTCATTGGTTGTTTGTCATTCTTTGCCAATGGCATGTTTAATTCTATACAATCCTACTCAAGTTTGCCATATGGAAATTCAGCGTACCACCTGTCGGTAACATTAAGTGTGATTGCTAATCCGGTAGCGTGCTTTCTGGCAATTTTTTTGCCACACACATCGTTGCGGCCTATATATGTGCTGTGCTGCTTATGCGCTACTTTAACTGCCTACGTTTTCATGACAGCTTGCATGAGTCCACTACCACCGTTACATGACACAACTATTGGATCGACTTTAGTGGTATGTTACATAAGCATTCGTATACATATACTTTTATCACTTATATTTTTGGCCATTTTTAGATTATTACATGGACTCTGCTGATTGGTTTAGTAAGCTATACCAAGTTGTCTATTTCGTCGATAATGCGGTCACAGGGCGGTCGGTCACTGGTGTGGACTGGTTGTCTAACTCAAATTGGTGCTTTATTAGGTTCGGTCCTAATATTTATTTTAATTAATTTTACTAATAGTTTTGAAGAACCACCGGCTAGTGAATGCTAATAAAATAAAAACAAAAAAAAACTATATTTACATGGCAGGAAATGTACTTATATCAAAACGAGCAAAAAATTACATTTTTTATATATATAATTTAGTTGTTTGTTGGTATCACTTTAAATATTTTTATCAACAAACAGTAAATACATTAAAAAGTTAGCTGAAAAATTAAAAGAAAGTGCATTTAGACAATAAAATTGATATAAACCTACAATTGCATTTTTAAACGAGGTAATAGTGTGCACATAATTTCCCTTCATAATATTCTTTTATGGCCACAACCGAGAAAATAAAACGACTAAAGCAACACACGATAATATAATATGTTTACATTTTAATAATTTTAGCTCTCAAAAGTTTGGATGTTTATCTAAATATTTCATTAAAATTTAATGTTAACAGTGCTTTTTTCACGGAAATTATTATATTATCAATAGATTTAAAAAAAAAATATTAACCATACCTTTTATACATATCTTACAATTTTTAAAATTATTCATATTTATTGCTAAGTCATACTTTTTTTTATTCCATTCTCCAAATTTATTTTAAAATTTAATATATTTTACATTTTTTATATCACTTTTCATTTTTGAAAAGCCATGATTTATAACGTTAAGTTACATTGCTGAACAAAGTTGATTTATACTAAAACTTCTTACTGCTGATTTGTAGACGAAATTTTGTTTTTCTTTCGTTTTAGCGCAAACAAGTCGTACTCACTGTCATCATTGTCACCCTCGTAGCCCATTTCAACACAGCTACTTTCATTACCACACATGTTGCCTATGCAAAAATTTTCTGCGGATTGGTAGACATCCATGCTAGTGACACTGCTGCAGCAGGAAGCGTAGCATGACGGTGTTATATTTTTCCCGTTTTCACAGCTATTTACCTGTCCTGACTTATCATTACTAAACATGTTTATTCGATGTTTTAAGGTAGAGTTGCTTTTGGTAGAGATTTGACTTTTAACGGCAGCTAATGCAGGCTCAGTTGATCCAGAATCCTTTATTTTATTATCGTCATTAACAACAATATTGTTGAGAGTATCTGAGCTATGTTGGGGAAAAGTCGGCGACTGCCCACAATCATTTTCAAATTCTATAACTTTTGTCGTTATATTAATGTTCCCTTTGATAGCGTTCACCGATTGAGTAATAACATTTTCCAAATGTGTACCAAGGAAAGTATCGATTTTTTCGAGAGATTCTTTTGCGCGCTTAAAAAGCACGAGACTTTCCTTTAGTACATGGCTCTCATTAAGTTTTTCGAAATTCTGCAAAATTTTACGAATGTCTACCTTGCTTTCAATAGATACAGGTATCTTTGTTGAATTTGATTCTCTTGCGGTTTCGAATTCTTTAATTAGTTTTTTGATTTTGGTAACATTATCGCTGGAATCAATATCGCTGTTTTGTGGCAACAACAGACCGGACGATACTTCGTCTATCTCTTTAATTATATCTACTGAATTCTGAATAACTTCATCATGTTGAACACGCAGTTCCTTTAGTCGCTCCTTTAGATCATTTAAGTAAACTTCAACACGCTGGGTTTTGAGAGTTTCTTCGGGTACTGCAATTTTTTAAATATGCTTTACTTTTCAATTAATATGCTAATATACTATTTAAGATCTTGTATTACTACAATACGCATTTAAAATCTTACGAAAAGGCATTTTAACGTTATCCATGGATTAAAGAAGACAATATAAAATTTAGAGTAGTTTAACCAAATGATTAATAAAGTTTCAAGTTTTCTTGTTTCAATACAATTTTTTTTTTTATTAAATTTGAATTTTTTTGATATGCATCTTAGATCAAATATGTAAATACGGTATTATGACCAATTTCTTGTAACGGAAAGGTTTTATATTAATTTCTATATATCTTTCCAAGGACTTTATTGACGATCCAAAAAATAACTTAATTGTTAATAAATAACTTTAAAAAATGTAAGTTTGAGTTAGTAAAAGTTTCCCCCCTACTTGTTTTCTAATATACATATATATGTGTTGAAAGATGCTTAATTTTAATACATTTAATATTATTAAATTCAAAGTTTTTTAATACAGCAATAAAGTAGTTTTTTCCCCCCATTACTCAAATTTTAAAAATGTTGAACTTATTTCTCATTGAACAAAAGTTTTTCTCTTGAATAGAACATCCATATATATAGAAATGTATATTTATAATAAATAATAAATATATTTTTCCAATGAAAATCTATGTAAGTATATTTGTATGCAGATAAGCAGATATGATAGATCTGTTATGTACTGCGAAATTTAACTTTATATTCTTTATTACAGCATCACTAATTGGTAATTGTGCGAAATAGTTTTAATAAATATAATATATAAAATTTATGTTAAGAGACAGATATGTAATATTTGCATATACAAATTATTCCACAATCCAAAAAATACCTCAAAAAATCTACCCTAATTATGAAAATATGGCAGTTGTCTAACGTAAACAAAAATCAGCTGTTCAGCAACACAGCTGCATCTCTCTTTTTGACTGTCGAGTCAGCTGTTGAAATATAACCACTCTCTCGTTTTGGCATTGCACTTAAACGTATTACAGTGATTAAGAACTGGGCAAATATACTGAAGAAATCATGTATTCGTCAATCTAGAACCGGAACGAGTAACGTAATTTTGAATAAATTTTTCGCAAATAAATTAAATTTTCAACGTTTTAATTGAGTGGCTGATTATTACAAAATAAAAATAAACTGGAAGTTAAGCTGGTTTGTTTCAAAAAGACTTTGTTATAATGTTAAGGTTTTCGCAACTGTTTTTAGTTCTATTTAGTTAAACAATATCGACTTCGTTTCGAGACGATCTACATAAATATATTTACTAATATATATAGTAAGTGTAAAATATGGTTACCGACTTTGCGCCAAGACCCACTGTGCTATCAACAAATCCCAACAATCAAGTTGGCTCCACAGCTGAAGCGATTGCTCGCTAGCTGGTTTCGTCGTCGGTGTTTATTATGTGCGTTGTTTGTTCCATTCTGTATTCTTTCTTAAACGGCTTTTATTTTTACAATTATTCGTAGTTGGAGGAAAATGGAAGTTTGACCTGTCAAATTGTGGATAACAGATAATTTTTTCATTTTAGTAGTCAATCAGCAGAAAATTTTGTAGTAACATATTCAAGTCTGTGTCTATATATTAAAAATAAATTATCACAGTCTATCAACAACTACCACAGTATCCAACGTCAGCAGCATAATTTTCAGAAATGAGCAGTTATTAAATATATGCTACACGAATTGGAATCGTAATTTTCCTACCCATGAAAAGTGAAGTAAAGTGAAAAGTAAAATAAATTGAAAATGAACGTGCTGTAAAAAAACAGCATAAGACGTTTAATGTAAAGTGAAAAGACGGCTACATTTTTGGCTGCTAAGAGTTGGCCGCATACTCCCTACAGTAAGTGCACAAAATGCAATCAAAAATTGGATTGTTAATATAAATTAAAATATATAGAGTGCTGAGTTGGGGAGATATTCCTATACCTACATAAATATATATATTTATATATACATATATAAGCATTCAATTCTGATCTGTATACATAAGTGTACGCATGTACATATTATATATACGAATAGGTGCTGCAATATTTCATACCTAACATGCCTATATATGTACATATTTAGATTGATGTGTGTACTTTAAATACGACCGCATACATGTCCATATACATATAAATTCATAGTTCAATTGATGTTGCACCGAGGTAGACATTAAGGATTTAAGAAGAAATAAGGATCAGGTGCACAGTATTTTGTGAAATAAGAAATAACCTTCACTTTGTTACAATTACAAAATGCAATTTTGTTATTAGGTATCGTCGCTACCTATAAATTTAGTCATTCAATTTTCGAATGTATGTAAGTACGTATATCAGTGGAGCAGCGGTAGGAGTAGTGGATATGACACTGCTACAAATGCTGGCAACGTTGTAATATGTATATTGAACAATCATACATAGATATGTACACATGTATATCAAATATAATTAGTTGTATATATATTTTTAATCATATTGTGTGATGATAAGAACTTATTTGACGTATAGTGAATCTAGTTTATATGTTTAAATCAATTTTTGCAACTCGTTCACTTATTTGGCACATTTTTTTACGGATTTTTTAAATATGTTACATATCCATATATTATTAGTAAAATTAAATTAATATTTTTTTATTCAAAAGTGTCGGTTAACAATTGATACAAAATTTTACGAGAATTATCTGAATGCAGTCTTATGTACATACATATGTACTGTCTATATATCTTATATATGTATGTACATATATGTATTGAATATTTCATGAACAATACCAGGTCGATAATACCGATACCTGCTGTCAAAGTTTCATACCCCACCAATTTGTTTCCATTTAAAATGAGCAATTTTGAATATATGTTCAGGAAATTTGTATTGAATTAAGGTTTTTCTATTAGGACAATAATGATCATAATATATTTGGACAAGTACAGAATTGGCATACTTTTCTTATATTTCCTGTTTCCCCAGGTCATCAAGTTAGTTTATCTTTCTATAAAGATTTAATAAAATTATGTTTTACTTTATATTATATTAGATTCATACATATGTATGTATGTACATACGTGTTGTGAGAAGGAATAATTGAGAAAGTAGTCTCGTGGATATGCATAGTATGAATGTAAATAGAAAATATGTATTTAAAATTTGAGAATTTCAACAGTATGTAAATTTTTTCTTTTGAATAAAATGTTTTTCCAGGTTTGAAGACCCATACAGAAGTTTTCTATATAAAATACTTGGTGATAAAAGGAATAATTCTGAAAGGATCTATTTACATATAAATTTTACACGTGCTCATGTATGTAAAGTACCTTTAAGAATGCGCGTAACATCATACTGCCACAGTTTTACGGTTCCAAATAGTGATTATGTTTTTTATTTCATGGAAAAAATCATTGTGTATGGCGAAATACTGGAGTTAAAATAAATCCACTATATAACTTTTTTAATGAAAATAATAATACATAAACATTGATATATAAATTGTTTCAACTTTAATGTTTTAATAAAACCTGCAAAACTTACACTAAACATGATACAATCAACCCAATCAACGCGTGGCGTTAGCTCAAATCTATATCACCAGTTGGTGCAACGCGAATTGAATCTGTGGCCACAACGCAATCCTCAAACATTTACTGGGCATTTATATACGGAGCGCTATCGAGTTGCAAATAATTTATTTAAAACTGATTTACGAGCTCATTACGGCTGTGTGAATGCTATAGAATTTTCTTATGGTGGAAGATATCTCGCATCGGGTAAGACATACATACATATGCATGTATATATATATATATATTAAAGCAACAAAATAAAAAGGTATTGAACGGTTCTTTTTATGAGAATAGATCTAAAAGTATATACATTAGTTATTTCCAGAATAATTTTTTATAAAAAAAAGTATAGCTAAGCGTTTTCTGTTTGCATTCAATTAAACAAGAAAAAACGTTAAACGGAAGATATAATACCCTTCACGAATATAAATGTTTCCTTACAAGAATTTGATTTGGTTTGCATGGTAGATATATGCTATAGTAATCCGATGTTAAACATTTCTTCGGAGATTATACCTTTTCATTTACGAATAACCGGTTAAAACATTTTTGTGCATGGGTTGTACATGCCTTATTTTTGTTGCTTTTATTACGCAAAATAAGATTAAGAGTAAAAAAATGTTCTGCCTTTGTTTTTATATATAAAAAATGAAAAAATTCAACTCTAAATAATTTATTAACAGATATCGATCATACATTTTGGATTCATTCTTACGATAGACATTTTAAAATAGGGACAAATGTTTAGAAATGAACAGTTTTACATTTCCTGTCATGATCCGTAGAAAACATGTGCATCTTAAGAGATATTCTCCAGCCGATGATGGGGAAATTCGTTACCATGTCAGTGATCAGGTCGTTATAATTGTCAACTCTATGGTTTTCAAGGAAACCATGCACCACTCTCTTAAAACTATTCCAGGCCTCTTGCTTCTCATTGCTATTTATATGCTTGATTTGTATAGTGGAAAGTAAAAGAATCCGATGGGCTTTAAAATGGTGTTGTATAGGAAATAGGCGTGGTTGTAATCCGATTTCGCCCATTTTCGCACTATAACATAGATAGATATGAGAAGAATGCTATGTACCAAATTTGGTTGAAATCAGTTCAGCAGATCCCAGGATTTGGGTTTTCCCAGAGATAAAATGTAATGTCTCTGGTGTGTTTAGTGCTTGATTTATCGCGCTTTTAGTTGTTTTTAACTATACCGTTATATGGGGAGTGAGCGGAGTTGCCATCCGATTTCACCCATTTTCGCACTGTCGATAGAGGTGCTAAAACATTTGTTCTCAGTGAATTTTGTTATTATAGTTTTAGCAGTTTAGGAGATATGCATATTAAACCTATTAAGGGGCGGGACAACGCCCACTTTTTCAAAAAAATTTAAACTGCTAATGTGATCCTGTAGACCAAATAACAGTCTTGTATCTTATTGTGGAGCTTAGTTATGACAATTTATTTGCTTTTTGGATAATGGCGTTTTGTGGACGTGGCAGTGGTCCGATTACGCCCATCTGCAATACCAACCGTCTTACGATATCAAGAAACATGTGTACCAAGTTTCATAAAGATATCTCAATTTTTACTCAAGTTACAGCTTGCACAGACGGACAGACAGTCACCGGGATTTCAAATCGTCTCTTCATCCTGATCATTTATATATATACCTATAACACTATATCTAATTCGATTAGTTTTAGGTGATACAAACAACCGTTAGGTGAACAAAACTATTATACTCTGTAGCAACATATTGCGAGAGTATAAAATACATCAAACTAAGTATTTTTATATATTTATTATATAATCCCTATATTGTACGACAATTAAAAACTTTTCTATATAAACTATAGAATTCTAATAATGACAATACCGCACAAAAAAAAAGTTTGCTAAGGCAACTTTTAATACAAAATTTTCAATATAAATTGACAATTAATCATCCACATATTTTCTTTTTGCCTTCCAATTCATATGTATAATACTTTTTGATGACGTATGGCGATTTTTCTGTTTTAAAATTACTTTTATGTTATGTTATGTTGTGTCCTTATTAGAACATTTTGTTAATTTTACTCACTCACTCTGCTGTTTCTTTTATTAGTATTTCCGTTGTATGTATCTATAATTTATTATATTTGTCACATTAGTGATTTCGCGGAATATTTTCATTAAAATTCCAACTGAACGGATAAGTGAATTCGTCGAATTTAATATAACAAGTTGATATAGGAAAGTAAAATACTTGTATTCCATATATTCCAGGTGTTACAAACTTTGTGTCTAACTTAATACTTGATATATCCCGCTCAGGGTATAAAAAGAAATTAACATAACAATAACCAAAACCATATTACAAATCTAAGAGAATAATATTACCAATAATACTTTTTTAATTGTAACGTCATATTTTTAGGCGGCGACGACAAACGTGTACTTATATGGGATATTGAAAAAGCAATTGCCCATCATGGACGCCCGCGAGTATTGCAAACGGAACATACCAGTAATATCTTCTGTTTAGGCTTCGATCGTTGTAATCGTATTGTGTTGTCTGGTGGAAATGATGATTTGGTAATAGCACACGATTTTGAGACGTAAGTCGAGCACTTAAGCACAATAATTGTTAAAATATATTTCATTCTTTTATAATATAACTTCCAGCGGTAAACTTGTCAATGTCTTCAAACACAATAATCCAGTGTATGGCCTATCCATAGATCCGAAATGTGATAGTATTTTTGCAACAGCATGTGAGGATGGACAAATTTTGGTGTTCGATCAACGTGTTGACACGGCCGATCCTTTAGTGGTAGCTCAACAGCACACATCATTTCATGCAGTGGAATTTCACCCAGCTGGTGGGAATTTTTTAGTCACTGCTAATTCTAAACGAGGAGCTGCTTTTTGGGATATACGCAAACCGCATCAGTAAGTTTAAACTGATCCTTTATTAATTAATATATAATATTATATATCATTAATATTTTATTTTATTTTAACAGTCCTGTTATACAATATGGAGGCCATGTGGATGATCCACCTAGTTGTATGAGTGTACGTTTTAATTCGAATGGAAGCCTTATATTAGCCCTGCGTCGCCGTTTACCACCGATCCTTTATAATACACAGTCTCCGGAACCGGTTTGCACATTTTACCATGGAAATTATTATAATTCATGCACCATGAAAAGTTGTACATTTGCGGGAGAAAACGATGAATTTGTTCTATCTGGATCTGATGATTTTAACCTTTATGTATGGCGTGTGTCTGATGTGAATTGTAAGTTAAATGTTTGTGTCCCTTTATAAAATATATAAAGATTTAAATTTGAAATTATTTCAATAGTGGAGAGGACTGATCAATGGGTAGAAAATACACAAATGGTCTTATATGGACATCGTTCTATTGTGAATCAAGTTCGCTACAACCCACAAAAATGTCTGCTGGCATCTTCTGGAGTTGAAAAAATTGTAAAGGTAAATTATATCACACATTTTTGGGTGACATTTAAAAGCTAGAATATTAAATAGGTATTTTTCAATATTATGTTACTACATTTTTTAATATTTGGTCTGTTTTTAGCTTTGGAGCCCGTTTTCTCAGAAGGATTGGACCGGTTCGTTGTTGGAAAAAGCAACATGTCCCGAAAACCCGAGAGAATTGTATTTACCTTATAATATCTCTTCAATGTCTACGTCGCCACATAGTTGGTCACATATGTCACATGACTATAGTAGCCGTAATACCAACGAAGATCCCCGTATGATGGCGTTCTTTGATTCACTAATTCAACAGGAAATCGAAAGCTGGGATGCAGACAGCTCGACAGACTCCTCACATAATTCAGACGCCACTCATTCATGTTCTAGCTCGAATGATAGTTCAGATAGCAGCCCAGATGATGAAAGCGATGACGATGATGATGACGATGGTGGAGGTGATGGTGGTGACGTTGTTACTGAGGTCATTAGTATTCCCGTCAATGTACCTAATGGAAATAGTGTAATACGTGAACGTCCCACAAGACATGTCAAACGTCGCTTCACGAAACGAAAAGGTATAAGTTTCAATACTTTCTACAAAATTTTATTAGTATTTTTTTTTTAATTTCCTTTGTTTATTATTTTTCTATTTAAAGATCTTAAACGCCGTAAATCAATCTTCAGAAAAAAATCTAAACCTCAACGTCATGCTTTTGCTAATCGCATTGCTTACTTAATTGCCACCAAACGCAGTCGCCTACGTCGTTTAGCAATAAAGGGGGCTTCTTTAGGAAATAGGCGACCTTACAAAATTTTAAAAGTATGTGATAACAGTACAAGAAAATCTGAGGCCAGCTCTAGCAAATCGATTCGGTCGCGTTCTCAAGTTAAGCGGCACCAAGCATCTCAAAGACGTAGTCAAAATGTATCACGTAGAAATAACTTTACCATCGATCAAGATGTGTTAAGTGGAACTATTGCATCTACCTCAAGTGCAGTGGCGTCTGGTCAGACAATAACCAATACAACATCCGAAGCAACAACGATAGCAGGGGGTACAAGCAGTCACCGTTACCAACGTCGAAAATACAAAAAGCGTAGTGTCTATGGTGAGTTTGAATATCATGTTTATTAATAATTACATACGATGTAAATAATTGTATGTATGTATTGTATTATGTATATGTGCTTAACATAAACCTAAGTAAATATTAATATTTTTTTATTTGAATCTTTTACAGATACATCATCAGATGATGGAAGAGAGATGTCGGCTTCTATTTCAACTATTCCTAGTAACGCTCCCAGTACAAGCACTGGAATAACCACAACACTAAAGGGTGAGTACTTAATAAAATTGTAATAGCTTTAAACAACAGAAAACTTTATTTTCTCTAAACTTCTATTAAACTTATTTAACAAATTACTAACTTATATAATTATTTATAAATTAACCATGAGCAGGATTGAAAATAATGCATTACAAAAATACTTTAATTCACATTTGAAGTAAAATTTTTTTTATTTTGCAATCCCGAAAACCTTAATTAAAAATAATGTTTAAAGCTCGCACAGAGCCATCATCTTCAATACCCTAGAGCACTGGTCGGCAAGCTTACATTCAAACGATTTATATTTTATCAATTTTCAATTTTGATTGGTATTAAAAATAAAATTTTCAATTTTTAATCCCAAATATATAAAAATTAAACATTTAATCGGAACTAAAAAACTGAAATGAAAAGTTTTTAATTAATTAAAATTGATTGTTAAAGAATTCGCAACCCTTACCATGAGTAAGTTTAATATTATATAAACAATAACATACGAGTTCACATTAATAACATTTGTTATTTATGACCCTGCGCATTTTGAGCAAGCTTCTCGTCTTGTTAATTATGTATAGCTAGAAATAAACTCTAAACTTTATTCGGCTAGCCGTTAGAAAGCACTAATCAGTCAAAAAGTTTAACGATAAATTAATTACGTCATTCAACACATTTAAAATTTCTTATTAGAAATTTGAGAGTGACAGTCACAAATAATAAAATGTACTCTTAAATAATTTTCTGTCTGACCATTACTTGACTTTCGCTGTGCGAATTTTGCAGAAAGCTCTAACTTGCTTGCAACGTATGATTAATTCCAAGAACAAAACAATCGTCGCCAACAGACTGCCAATTATGATGGTATAAAAAGACAACTGCAGATCATTTAGCGTTAGAACTTTCCATTTATCGCCGCTCTCGTCCAGATGTCGCAAAAAATTTCGAGTTTTAATTCTTGCTTGGTACTTCATATCTGCAATCCAATGGTCAATAAATCCGGATTGTACAAATTTAAGCAATAATATATTTATGCTCTTTTCCAAAGGCGAATGACTAGGAAGCAAAAATGCTATATTATAGTTTTTGGGACAATCGGGTATTTTATGTATTTTCTTTGTTATAAAGTAGTGTATGTCGTCGAGTTCGAGTGAAGAGGCTCGAGTAACAGATGCAAATTTACCGCCCCTAGACATCATGTGAATAAGACGTTGTTCCAATTCGGCAATTAAAAGTAGTTTCTTATGTAAATTCTGATATATTTGAGAGCTATGACCATAAAAGAGATCGTCCCTCATAGCTCCATGCTTTATATATATCCTTATATTGGCTTCATCCAGTTCTTTCATCGTATTGATGTCCTTGTAGTGCAGTGGCCGTATGTATACGGTTGCTAAACTTGATTCAAAAACTGCACCGAAGATCACGCTAACCAGACATAATGAAGCTATAAAGATTCGTTCTGATATAAAGGGTGGATAATTTATGATATTGACGCGCACCCACATCACCCATGTATCTATAAAAATGCGTATATATTGCAGTTTATGTTTTTGCGTTAGCAGGCGACTTTCCTGTGTTTGCAAGTTTTGAAATTTCAATGGATCAGATCCTTTTGTCATAACACTCAAATTTACTCGCCTTAGCAACATCCATATAAATGGAGTGAGCATTCCAACGAATATGAAGGAAACCCAAATGTCGACATTGACGGCAAATAGAGGGAGTATTGATTGAGGTATACGTCTAGCTTTTCTCACATAACAACAAAGTTCATCCGTATATACGGGTGAAGTAAAAGTAATATCACGCGTTAGATAGTCCTTTATAAAGAATCCAGCTAATATAATATCGGTCTCAAACCGTATTATTCGTCCAATTGCACCATTGTAACTGCCATTATTCGTGCGGGTGCTGCAATTATATTATAGAAAATGTTTAAGTACTCCTTTAACATCATTTTTACTATTTTCTGTGTTGTTCTACGTAAGATTTAGAGTAAATAAAATTAAAAAATAAATTTTTATTATGATATAAAATATGTGTCGATTGATATAGGAAGACCCAATTTATATACAATGCTCGTATACACTGTACAATTTTTTCTTCAATAAAATTATTACAAAACAACTACATTTGCATTCAATATTAAGTTATACGTTAATATTTATAGCCTGAAGAGGTATATGGGTATAGTAAGTTTGTCACGAAGTTTGTAAGACCCAGATGCTAGAAACCCTATAAAGTACATACATATGTATATAAATGTTCTGCGTGACAAGCTAAGCCGATTTAGCCATGTCCGCCGTGTACATACGCGAACTTGTCCCTCAGTTTTTGAGATATCAGTTTGAAATTTTTAACACGTCCTTTTCTTTCCAAAAAGCTGCGCATTTTTCGGAACTGTCAATATCGAACAACTATAAGACATACATAGCTGTCATACAAACTAAGGGATCAAAATTAAGCCCTTGTATGGAAACATTTTTTATTTGAAAAGATATCTTCACAAAATTTGTTGTTGTTGTTGTAACGGTTATCTAGTCCCCAATTCCCAACGGCAATTCCCACAACAGCCGGTTCTTCGTTACCGGAATTGACCCGGATTTTATCCGGCCAAGGGCTGTTATTTCGGCGATCTAACCCTGTTTGGATCGGTAAGTGTTAGTTTAAGTGTTCACAAAATTTGTCACAAATAATTGTTTAAGGCAACGCTACAATCTCCAAACATACTTTAACCGTTGGACGGTTAAGTTTTCAAATGTATGTAGTTATTCATATAATTGCTATAAGAAAGGCACCTGTGAAAGGTATTTTAGCTTCGTTGCAGCCGAAGTTTGCATTTTTTCTTGTTTTACCTTTAACTTAACAATCAAACAGCAAACATCAATTAAAAAAAAATATACAGGGTTGTTGACATACCCGAAAAAGTGATCGTCTGGCCATTGAAGATCCATTGTGAAATTCATTTTACTTGCCAACAGATCAGCTACTTTGCCATCAGCTCCCGTGATTCCAATTATTTCCTTCGACGTTTCGTTCACGAAAATTTGTAAATCGGAATAAACGGAGTGAAAAATGTAGGTGCGGAGTGGATACCCATGGAAATTATGAAAAATTCTCTTATAACTTTCATCGCCCAAACTAGTCATCACACCACGTTCTAGGCCAATTTTCGGAAAGGGATTCAAAAACAAGCATTCAATGCCGCTATTGTTCATATTATTCGGGATGATATAAAAAATCTGCAATGCTCCACGTTCAATCCATTGTCGCCGAGCCAAACTCAGTAATTGTTATTTATCCGGTTGGTCCAGCAAAATATTAATTAATACACCCTTACGTGAAACATATTTATTTAAATTAATTTCTAAGTCATTACTGCTTACTACCATAGCCCAGTGTCGTCGTTGACTGGATTGATATTGCTCCTTTATATCACCCACGCTCAGCTGCAGTGGACAGTATATTTGTTGTAAAAACTGCTGTACAATACTATTCTCAAAGTAGCGTTCATTAAACAAATGCAAATTTAGATAATCAATTCCGTGCAAAAGTTCTCTTAAAATTCCAATTTGGAGTTGATCACTGTGAGATGTCATTTCAATTGGACCTGACATCAATTCTAAAAATGTGGACGTTGCGATAGGTTGGGCTGTAAGAAACTCAGCCGTATAGAATGCAAAATAAGCAGTGACTAAAAAGCGTTTATTAAGCTCCTGCATTACGCGTACTTGTGAAAAATTAAATGAGCTAGCTTTTTTCAAAAAGCTGTATTTATTGAAAAGTGTTTACCAGGATATATGTACACAATCACATTTTGTATCTCAATATACGAGTATGTACATATTTGCATACATACCAACAGTAAGCACTTTGCTGTTGCACCATACATTCGCCTATCATGGCACCATTGACACTAGAGAAGTTTTGCAAACAAATAAATTGTATGTTGTTGACAAATAATTGACAGAATCTTTGTTTGCGCTTATACAATTTGTGTCAGGTGTCAACTTTATTCAAAGAACTGTAATATGCAGTTTTCCAAATTTAGCTGCTAAAACGTTATCGCTGCTTGATATCGGTTGCATATCCACACTTCACTTCTGCGCCTACCATTCTTAAATACTCATGAGCCAGGCATTCATTAGAAAAGCATGTGGGCGTTGTTCTTATTGCCCACAAAATGATAGTATCTACATATACTCGTATAATTATAACTACACGATTGATTACATTCTTTTGTGATTGTGACAATTTTGTCAATCCATAAAAAATAGTGACAAATTTCCCAAAAAGTATGTAAAGAAAGCTTTAGAGACATGGTGGTATTACAATGAACTGCCTATACTGATTATGACACCAATATGTTAATAATCAGTTATAACGCCTGCACTAAGGGAAAGCTTAATCTGCCCAGGGTGAATAGCTGGCTAGTTTTCTTGCGATTTACTTTAGGCCAGAAGGATCTTACGACCGCATAGGTACCGACAGTTGCTCAGCGTAACCTGTAAGAGGACAGCAGAGCTTCGACCAGTTCCCACTCCAATTACAGCGAGGCTGACGTGCCTTTCCTTAGTAATTCATCAGCTTTACAGTTGCCTTTGATTCCGCTATGGCCTGGTATCCAGCCTCGAGTGTACGGTCAGTGAGTTTAAGGCTAGTATTACCGCTCTACTATCGGAGTATATAGTCACTTCACTAAAGGACTGCTACTTTGACGGCAGCAACTTCGGCTTGATAAAGCTAAAATAGTCAGGAAGCCTGAAACTTGACGAATAGTTTCCGACCTTCACTAACCTTCTCCCCAAGCCTTGGTCCATCCATAAAAAATCTCACTCCAGAGATTTCCTCCGACTTATTGCTCGCTGGTATGGTAGCAAGAAAAATACCGCCAGAGCTTGGCAAATGGTATAGTATGAAATCAAAGCTTGTCAAGATTCCAGAGTGTTCAGACACGTGCTTATTTAGATACCCAGCTTCTCTGAGTTTAATAGCAACTCTCGCGGCCGCACCCCTTTTAGCTATATCGATGGGTGCTATGTGCGAAGGGGCGTTAAGTCATTAGTGCTGATGAGTTAATGTGTATGGTGTCAGAGTACCACAGGACTACTTTCGGTGAGAGAACCCACATTTTTGTAGCTCCTCTACAGCTGTACAAGGCAATCGATACCTTTTTGATGAGTACTATTAAATACTTTACCTTATACGCAGGTTGAAGGCGAACGTCTCCCATAAGCTGCAGTAGTACCTCCGTAAAGTTATTAAGTCTTACTAATAATAAATTATTTAATTATAACTTTATATTATATTATTTTTATAGTCATTATTAGTCACGTCAGCATTTAAGTACTGATTTAATGATAAAATTGCACATGCCTGCAGCATAGTAACAATAAAGATGTTAAGTTTTTGGAGTGTTAATCTTGCACGCTTAAGTAACATGCAAATTAGGATTTTGAAGGAATCTAATGGGAGAGATTACGACAAAAATTGACTTCAAACAACATTCAACAAACGTTAAAATATAGTAGTGGATGTCTTATCATACGGGGTTGTTTTCGGGGCAATCAACTGAGATTTCTTCGTAAAATTAATGAAATTATGAAGGCCCCGTATTACATTAATATTCTAAAGAACTATTACCCACCAAGTCTAGAAAAAATTAGCTGCGAAACAGTTGACATTATTTTAATGCAAGATAATTACCATAAACACAAGGCCAAAATAACAATAAAATGGCAGACATAAATTGAAAATCTGTGGAAATATTAAAGAAATGAGATATTAAAAACTAAGCCTCTCAAAACGTTGAAGAGCTTTGGATGGCCGTCAATGCAGCTTGGTCAAATAAAGGCCACAAATTTTAAATAATTTAATTGAAAATATGCATCACATAATGAATTTTATTTTTTATGCTAAGGGCTAGTATATTAAGTAGTAATAGTGAAACGAACGATACACCAAAAACACAAGTCACAAACGTTTTTATTTAACTTCAAGTATCTTAGTTCCACCCTAGTTGCATTTTTTAGCTTACTTAGCTAAAATGGAGTTATTTTAATCTTCTGCTAATGCTATTCTTTAATTTCCTGTTACACGTACAATATAACACGAAAAGTAAAATCCACGTTTTACGAACACCTTTGTGGTTCACTGTATATGAGCTTTAAACCAAAAAAAATCAACCAAAGGATATATTGCGTATTTGAGGGTAAAGTAACTGGAAGCACGCATACACACGGATTAAGTCTTGAACCAATTTAATTTATTCTCAGTTAGCTGTTAAGAAATCACTTAACTTCGTTAAAACATCGCACATATTGTCCTAAATAAACTGTTTAAAGTCAAATAAAAGGTCTGAAATCACAATAGTAGGTATATGAGACCTTCATCCAATTTATTCTATTTTTGGCTCCACAGAATATTGTTATCAAGATAAGATCCCCTTTGAGTTTCATCAAAAAAACTTACATATTCATCGATATATGTATACAAGGGCTCTTCAAATGATTCGAAAACCCTGAAAACCGATTATTCGAACATCCGGATTACAACCGTTCGTATGATTATTAACTGAACAATACTGCGTTAGAATAGTTGCTCTGCTGCGAGTATTTGGATAAAATAAAATTGTTCCAAGCAGCCTTTGATTTATGCACAAAATTTTATTTTTGAATGTTTCCTTTTTTTCAATAATTAATCCGCTTAGTCGATTAGTCGAATACCAAGAGCTCTAATGTATACGACAATATTACTTATACGATAATGACGTCGGATAATAGAATTGATGGCATGTGTTTAAAAGCGAACGCCTATCTCCGAGAACTTTCACTCTTCTTCACTGCAAGGAAACTCTCCCCTGCCAAATCCACTACCACCCTATTTACAAACTGGACGAAGGAGTACAAACTGGACCTCAAATTTTATCCCCATCGATGATGTTAAAATTTCGACGATAAACCACTCTAAAATTTTAGGTATTACATTTGACAGTCTGCCCTCCTTCACTCCGCACACAACCGCGATTATCACAAAAGTACAGAGCCGCAATAAGATTCTCAAGTCGCTAACTGGCAGTAATTGGGGCAAGGTTCTGGTCGGGTGAATATAATAATTTTGTATTTATGTTAGCATAATCTCATTTTATTTGAACACTGTTAAATCTTTCTGTAACAACCACGAAGCATACATTAGATTCCATCATCCTTCATTTTAATCTTCGTACGTTTGCTACATCTTTTGAGACAGGATTCAAGGATTAATGACAATCCGGCCAGAGAGTTACCCAATATCACCACATAGAATGCCAACTGTAAATCGTTAACCGTAAGCACTTTAAATATATCGGTTTGATCGAAATTCATGCCATTTGTCATTACATCGATGTCAACTGCTGTTTTCATGTCGTTGATCCATTTTCTAATTAGTCCCAAAGAAGCGAATTGTAGGAGCAAATTGTTGATAGCTTCCTCCCAGGGGGCATCTTTCGGTATGACGTAGGAAATAGTGTAATCTTTTGGACATTCAGGTACAATATAGACTTGTTTTGCCAATATGAACTGCAGAGATTCTAACAATAGCGAATTGGCGCGTGAGACACCGGCTTTTCCGCCATTTTTGGCAATATCCAATACGACATCGGCGTTTAAGTTCTGTACATGTACTAATTTCTTATTGAGATTTGCAAAAAGTGGAGATGTTTCAGCGAAAAATAGATCATCCGCCATTGATGAGTATTTGTATATGATTTTTAGATTGCTCTCATCAAGCTGCTCCAATGTGTTTATATCGTTATAATATAATGGATGTATAAATATAGTAGCCAAACTGGACTCGAATATTGCGCCAAATATAACGCTTACCAGGCAAAGTGATGCTATAAAGATGCGTTCTGAATTGAAGGGCGGATACTGCACAAGATTGTCACGCACCCAAAGTACCCATGTGTCTATGTAGATTCTCACGAACTGCCACCACTGACTTCGTTCAAGCGGTGTATCGGCGCATTTTTTTATGTTGAGGCATATATTTAGGTGCCGTATGATGCACCAAAAGGCACAGCATACGAAAGCAGTCAGTATAAAACCTAACCAAACGTCTACATGTACCGAAAACAGTGGCAAAATGGACTGAGGGACGCGCTGAGCTTTTGGCACATAAATGCACAATTTGTCATCGTAAACGGCTACCGTAAAATCCATATAATCTCCCACCAAATAATCCTTTATAAAGAAACCCGTGAGACACAAGTCGATCCTATCCTCAATAATGGATCCGATCACACCATTGTATTTACCATCTATCGAGCGTTCACTGTAATAAGAAGAAAATCATGGTGAATATGAATGCTTAGGTTTGAAAAGAATTTCTCTTTTCGGTAACAACATGAATGTATAAATTCAAAGCAATTAGCAGTGAGATAATTTAATTTACGATAAGCCGAGCTCGAACTCGTCCAAATACGAAGAATAGTTTTTAAGATAACCGTATTTAAAAATCTCGAATTGGGTTCATATATACATACTACTTGGACTGAAAGGACTTTGGTCCCGGTTCGATAGTGTGAAACCTCGGGGCTTTCGAAATAGGCGTTTTTTTAGATCTTGTCCTCCTCGTTTGAGTGAAATATTTTTCTTTTGGTCAGGTGGAAATACGATGTTAAACATGCAGCCATTTGACTAACTAAAATTTTCTCTCTGAGACGCACTTAAAATATATTATTAAAAAACAGTTAACTTCTATAATAATCTTCACAATGAAAAAGTTTTCCATACAAGAACTTAATTGTGATCGGTCTGTTTGTATGGCAGCTATATGCTAGAGCGATCCAATCTGAAAAATTTGTTCAGAGATTGTAGCAATGGCTAGGAAAATAATCCATGCCAAATTTCGTGAAGATATCATGACAATTAAAAACACAACTACAACTTCGTGGCAACCTTAATATACCCTGTCAGGTATAAAATATATATAAGAACAAAATAATATTGACTACAAACTGATGTTGTAAAATATACCTACCCAAAATAGTTGGGATCTGGCTCTTGCAAGGCCATTGTAAAGTTCATACGTTGTTGTAAAAGTTCTGCCACACGTCCATCCACTCCATACACATCCTTAATCGATGGATTGCTTTTATTAAATAATGGGCGGGCATAGACTGATTTGAAAATTTGCACACGCAACGGATAGCCATGCATGTCCCGAAACAAGGCAGTATTCAGCGATTCACTGTGTTCATAACGAACAATTTTCCCATACCTTTGCCGGATATCATTGTATTCGAAGGGATTAAAATAAAAAATACCTTCAACTGTGAGCAAGAAATTCTTGAAAGCTCTATATTTAATCCACAAAGTATTTAAAGCGTGAAGCACATTAGTATTATCTGCTGGCAGTTGCGTGTCACTGAGTATGAAAAAGAACACCCCCGCTCGTTGTACAAAACGCTGCGCATCCTTTGCTAGCTGCTGTGAATCAGTCATAATGACGAAACTATCGCGTTTACTTTTAACTGACAACGACGGCTCCGTCTTATTGACAAGATTCAGCTCGTCATAGACTTTAATAATTAGCGGTAGGCTACTGTGTCGAAGGAACCAACGCAAATAGGGGTTGGCGTCATCGCTTTCCAAATGCTTCGCACGTAGCAACACATTGAGATAAGGTATCTGCAAAATATATCTGTGAAGTTTCTCTCCAACTTCTTCTAAGTTCAACGCTTTAGTTGTTGTATTTGAAATCACACGATATTGCCATTGTTGTTGTATCTTAGCCTCTATACAGTGCATTGGAAGTAATAATAAAATATAGTAAATCATAGCTTCATGTGATTTACCGACGTACATACAAAGTATACTTATATAGTCAAGTATGATGAAAATTGCAAAACACCGCGCTAAATAACTCTAGCAAGTACACTGACTAGATATTGACATTTACGATCCTTTTATAATGGCAAATTTATGGTGGTCTGTAAAGTGTGGCACATAGTCGTATTTGCATTTTACCAAGCACCCAACCTCTAGTTCGGTGCTCCTTTTGTGGCCGCCAATAGTTTTGTAAACAAACAAATGAATGTTTTCTCAAAAGGGTGTCGTTAAATAAGTTTTGCACAATCGCAACATACAGTACATAGAGATATCCAAATATTCCTTACGGTTATATCTACTCGTATATGAAGTAATCCTTACCTATGTATAATAAATACAAATATGGTATTTTCTTATTTACAAAACATTTTATTTTGCCACCTGTAAACGTGACATATCGCTTTATTTTTCAATTTCTAATACATACGTAATATGTACGTAACTGTTTATATAATATTTAGAAGTCTTATAGACCTTTGAATGGACATTACTGCGTATTTACACATCTCACAGTCGCTGACAGTATCAAATTCAATGAATGATTAACTTTTTGTACACATAAATATACTTATATTTTGTTTGGGTGTTTTAATTGGAACCAATAACAGAATTAATTATTTTGACACCTGCTGAATCACAGCGAATTGCCGAATTTTACTATTTTAACAATTTCAATGGTACTATAACAAGAATGAACGAAGTCCAGCTTTTTGCTTAAAATAAATATTTTTGCGAGGTTCAAATATTATGTGAATAAAAGTTGACGAGCTATTAGGCGGCTTTTGGGGAAATGAGCCAAAATGAAGGCTACAAATTGTGTGCACTAGTAAGTAAGTAGCTGACTTAATGAAAAAATAAACTGAGAGCAACTTTTTAGTTGAATAAAAATACAATTTAAAAAATTGTTTTTTTGGCCGAATATCAACTTTTTTGTGGTATTACGGTTTTCAAAACTGTGACAGTGCTAGAATATCAATAAACATTTTTGAACATTAGTGCAGTTTATTTCTGAAATATTCATAGAAAATGGAAAACGGGTAAATAATTATTTAAAATAATTTTAACCAAGGACCGTAAATAATGATTATTGTTGCGATTGTTAAATGAAGAAATAAAATACTTACAATCGACATACAAACAAAAAAATAACAGATAACGTCAAGTTAATCCTTTTTCGATGATCGTAGCATTTCCATGATGATTTTTTTAATTTCTGGTTTTTATTATTTTGTTTACCGATAATGACAAATTTTACAATAAATCATAAGTAATTAATATTTTTGATATTATATTAGCAAAAAAAAAAATCTAATAATAAACATTATTTTTGAATACATAGAAAACACAAGGTAACAATAGAGAATTTACAATAGAAAAACTTGTTGAATTCGTCGAAAAAGAAATCCGATAACAGGGCAAAGAAAGCCACAATTTGAAAGAAGTAAAATTAATTTTTTTGAAGCGAGTTGTTCCCATAACATTTTAAACCTCCTTTTAGATGTAGTAGGTGACGACACTCCAACGAGAAATTTATTTCTGCCACATTTTTGGTAATTATTGTACATCAGCGAGAAAACCGATTAGCAATTTAGCAATCTGTAAAAACATTATTTAAAAGCCCTTTTAATTGTTAATAAAACTTTGACTTACTTGGTGTTAGGAAGTTCCAATAGATTTGAGTGATCCCGAATTCTTTTTCGTAGCACATCAATTTTGGCATTTTTCCTTGCCAAATTATGCTGTTTTTTATCGTAATTCGGCGTCGGCCCAGTAATACGACATAGTAACCGCTCTTCAGATTTGCTCGCTGAAGTCCCCTGTTTTGAGTGTTCCTTGACCTATAGTGTATATCATTGGACAGAATTCATCGACGGCCGCTAACGGACACAGAAACTACTTCTGATTGCATTTAAACAGCATTAAACACTGCTTTAAAGTTATTTCATAGTTGCGCTTGTGGTCCGGAGTGAGCAAATACAGTATACACCACGCTGACAGCTTTACCTTACCCAATAATTCATACATGCTATGACCGCGGTCTTTTGAAATGTTTCTCAGTTCTAATGAATTCGCTAGACACATTACTTTAAACACTGCGCAGTTTGCACTGCTGATTTTATGCTGGCTGATGCATGAAATGCTTAAAACTGCGCATTTGAAAATTTGCATATTCAAACATAAAAAAAGCAGAAATTTATTATTTGCGAATAGCGATGAAGTCAAACGGATTGGTCCACAAGTGAAAACTATAGTGCACTTGACGCAATCTTTCTACTATATCCCATAAACTTTCTACTATCTCCACTAATATAACGAACCAATAATATTAAAATTATATTTAAGATAAATCAACTACTATGACACTTTAGCTAGCACAGTTAGTTTTGGTGTAATTTTTTTTGCAACTACTTTTCAAATTTTGCAAGTTTCACGCGTTTTTGTACAACAGCTGCGACAGTGATGCTTTTTCGAATTTTCAATTTTGGCAAAGATGCTAGGTTTGTTTTTTCAAACTGGTTGCATCAAGCATACCGTTAAAATCACATTTTTTGCATAGTAATTATTTCGAATTTTAAATTTCAACCAATCATGACAACTTAGCCAATCATCACCATTGCAAACTCGTGCATACATATACCATATATACATATGTGTATATAATATATTAACAGGTTAGGTTAATGTTTTCCTATGCCATAATCTCACAAGACGGCTAGCGCCCGTTAACCTTGTCTCATAATTGATTTGAAGCTAAAAGATGTAATATTTAACTAGTACATTTGCGTGTGCGCGTGTTATTCATATAATATATCCAATGTAAGGCGTGTGTCAACATCATGTAAATTACTACATCAAATCGTAATCTATTGTTTGTTTGGCTTTTAACTTATTTACCTCAGTTGCATAAACCATAATTAACATAATACTGTTGCTTGCGGCAAATAGCGGTACTTAATTAATATAACGGCGAGATTTTACACCCTTTTTTTTGTCAAAAATTATTTTATATGAACGAACTTAAAAAATAAAACAATTGTTTGGCCAGAAATCTCCCAAAATATATGTTTTGTGTCTGATGTATGATTTTAATTTGTCCTGTCTCGAACTTTCGTCCCATAGAGTGTTTGTCGCACACTCAATCCATTCGGCAGTTGCTTACAAATCTTATCGCTCTAACTTTCAAATATGTACATATGTACATAGCCCTAAGGAAATGTGCTTACTCACCCCAGAAATTCTGTAGCCATTTGTTACAAAACAGAATAAAAAGGAACGTTGACTCCTCGGCAGGCAGTACCAATCATTCATGTGTTTCTTTAGAAAATCCATCAGTAGCTAAAACTTGTCGCGGCAAGTATCTTGCAATAGTCCAATCGCCTTTCTGTTGTAAGATCTGCGCACTGGTTTTTAAAGTAGAGTGCCGGACGAATTACTTACTCCCTTCATTCAAAATAAGCATAAAGTCCTGTTACAACATTATCCTCCCCTTTTGCATTATGAAACATACATACAGATACTATTTACAGGAATGCAATAGTCTGAAGGTTCATATCCAGTTTCACTAGTTTTACGGTCAGCAAGTTTGTTACTTTTGGTACTCGAAATGCTTAATTATTTCATAATATCGATTGAATGAAAATGAAATTTTCTTTATTTCAGATGACATAATCCGTTTAAGACAACATCAGCAAAATATAATTGACTCTGATGAGTACGAAGACGATGAGGAGCCGTCGTCATCGTCATCGGCACTTCAACGCCGCAGTCATAACATCGCCGAAGTTGAGGTCGATCCGACAGTGCAGCCGACAAAAAAATTAAATGGCGTACGTCGCATTAACGACGCTGCAGCCAGGGAGCGCACCAATATTCTTAATGAATCGAATATGAATTCAGAACGTCTGATTAGTTTTAGCGTGGAGCGTGTCATCAATCAACAATCTCCCATCCACTCGAACACCAGGCAAGTGACTGAAAATCCACAGATATTATCCAACGAATCTTCTTCCACAACACCAATTATCAATAATACCGTGTCTGGCGCAATAGAAACAACTCAACTACCTCAAACACAAAATGCAGATTCGCTATTCAATATTAGCAACATTAGCGATGGCAGTGTCAATATCAATCACCACAATATTAATAATAGTAGCGGGAGTAGCATCAGCCACATTGTCATGCCAAATCGCCGACGTCGTGCACATATGGCGTTTACGGACAACTACTCGAGTCATTCGAACTCCAGATTATCGAACAGTAGTTATGCCGACGAGGCAGTCGAATCATCAGCCTCATCTACATATATTGTTAGCGATGTAGTTCCTGAAACCAATGATAATGGTCTAAACAGCAGCAATGTTGGGAATAGTGGCAACGACGATACCAGACATAGTGCACACATTTATTCCACGCCACTAAAACGGCGCCGGATTACCATAATACCGACAGGTGATGACGGTGAGGCTGGTTCTGACACCGAAGCGGCTACAAAGTGGAATCACGATAACAACAATAGCAATAGCAATATGTTACATAACGATCATGACTATCCGATTAGCAGCAGCAGTATTCCTAATGTCAACAGTCATAACAGTTTCCTTCACAACACAATGGAACTGAATGGTATTTGTGTAGGTGACGATACGTCTGAAGCGGCTGCAACTAATTTACAAAAATTACACCACAGAAGCACCAGCAATGGCAGCGTGAATAACAATACCACTAATAATGCTAGTCACCACAATTACGAACTAAATCGTGAGCATAGTGCGCATGCGCATCACCAACAAAATGCCACACTGTTACTTCGTACACCCGATAGCGGTATAAGTATAGGTGCCACAGTTACACCCGGCCAAACGAGCAGCATTTGCCCCAGTTCAAATGAATCGACAACTAGTCGCTGGCATCACAGTAACGGTGGTGGCATGCTTAGCAGCGATGGTGGGACAACGCCCAACAACAGTGGAACTGTAATCAGTCATCACATGCTACCGCTATGCGACGACAACTCGAATGCCACAATGGGATTGTTTCAGCAAAAGGTGGCTCGTGTACGACGCAATTATCGCAAAAAATTTGCCGAAGACTCTGACGAAAGTGATTAATTGACTGAACATGAAAATACCTACAAACAAACAAAAAGGATAAGAAAAACATTTTTTTTTTAAATAAAAACGAAAAAAGTTTATAGATGGTCCACTACTAATATGCATCAAGATTTGAGCTATTTTCTAGTAGCATCCGACATCTAATTCACTAAAAGCACTTATACCAGCTGTATACAAAATGATGATTCGCCGCATTCTTTGGCTAGATAATAATAAAGAAAAAGTAACTCATTAAAATTAACTTGCATACGAAACATATTATATAAGAACAATTCAAAATTAATGACATTTTCTGTGAATACCTAAAAGCGTATAAATATATTTACGAAATTATTAACCATTAGTTAAAACGTATTTCTATCAATAAAAATTAATTGAAAAAACAAAAGCAAAACAATCCATTTATCTATCCAAACTTTTCAATATCCATGTATGTATGTTGCTCCTGGGTATGTTGAATGGGACGCCACGCCAGTTCTCGTGAATGTAAGTATTATGAACAGTTATGCCGAAACTTCAACATTCCAATCACTAATTAAATAAAGCGTGTTTTTGTGGTAATTTGATCAAATAGTATAATTTATTTTATTATTTGAAATTGTACTTACTCTAGGCTTAAGCATAAGAGTTTTCATAAACTTACAAAATTAATAGCTACTTTTGCCTTAAATATGCATTAAGTGAATTTTTTTTAAATATTCTAAATGCTCGCAACACTTTAAATACATGAGACGGCTTAATCCGAGCACTCCGCGTTCGGAGTTTAGAAGCTTTAAATGTATTTACTTAAAATTTCTTGTCATAATGAAGAGAAAATGGAACAAAATAGTACTAAAAGTGATTAAAAACAAGAGTTTGGTGGTATATAAAATAGCGGTAATTGATAACAACGTGCATGCACTACATCCAAAATATATTATACAAAATACGAAATACTTTCAAAATATACGTTTACATGGATAAACATGTTCAGAATGCAGAATAATCAACTGAAAAAAAATAAAAAAAATCATGATAAACGTAATTAATAATGTCACTCTAATTTAGCATTAAGAGTTATGGTGATCTACTCTAAAGTATCCCATGTCATATTTCATAGTTATTACGAAGAATTCATATCACTCGGCTTAAACGGCAAATTGAGTCGTTTGCATTGTTCAATGACATATTTCTCCAATGTAGAACCAGCGCTAAAAGGATAACAAACGCACACAATACAAATTCGTCAGTCAATTATTGAGCAGAACAATTGCGGTTTACTCACCTATAAATTTCATTCCCTTTAACATTATATTCGTCGCAATTTTGGAAAATAAGCTGTATGTCCTTCATTACTTCCTCATTCAACTGATATGAGCCCATATTAAGTTTTGACTTTACTTTAGCCAAATCCATTGGCGTTTTAATAATCTTGTGATAGTCCGGCACTTCTGCGTGTGACACGGGACGTGTAAATGGCCAAGCATCTTCGTGTTTCATAACATCGTCGAGTAGCTGATACAATGCGGCGCTATTTAATGGCAAATGATCACCCGTACGACGAATCGAACGACGTTGTGATGACGATTTAGCAACTTCACGTGGACTGCCTTGACCATTCTGCGGCGGTTGTTGGTACCCAGAGTTGCGTAAGGATGAACGTGAGGATCGTTGACGCTTTACAAGCGGTTCGGAGTCATCATCGTCATCATCATCTGACGAATTCAGTGAATGTTTACCATTAATTTTCCCACTTTTTGGGGATCTTTTTTCAGTTCCGTTTGCGGATTTACATTTCGAACATATGAAATTATAACGAGGTGCTCTCTTCATATTAATGCACTCTAAATGAAACGTTTCTCTACAACGTATACACATTAAATCACTGCCATCGTATGAGCACACAACGCAAACATTTTCATCCCTAAGGAAAGAAAATTTAAATTAAAGTTTTAATAAACGTTAAGTAGGTTTTTGTTATTTTAATCAGGGTTGCGATTTTTTAATTAAAAGAATTTAAATTAATAGTTAATTTTTTTTTTTAAATTTATGTTAGTATTAATCATTGAACATTCAATTTTTAATCCCAAAAATCAAAATTAAAAATTGATAAAATATAAATCGTTTGAAGGTGTAAGTTTGCCCACCAGTGCTCTAGAGTATCGAAGATGATGGCTCCGTGTGAGCTCTAGCTCAAAATGGTAAATCCCAAAGTACGCGAAAAAATATAAATTCTAAAACAATTCTTTCTTAATTTTGGTAATTTTCTTTTTTAATTTTGGCATTCTTTTTTTTCAACACGGTATTTGGGATTATAAATTTCAAATAAAAAAAATTAATTCAATTATTTTTAATGTATTATTTGCAGCTCTGATTTTTATTAGCATTCTTAAGTCTGACAAAGTAATATAGGCACATATGTATGTATACATATATTAAACATTATGGAAATGGTTACATAAGTACATAACTACCCGATTGTAAAAATTTTCTAAGAACATATAACTATTCTACAAATATGAATTACAAAAACCCATCACTAATGAGTAATCGTGCTCATTAAAAACACTTAAAAATTGTTATATATGTAAGTACATAGTCACACTTACTCTTCATCATCTGTATCATCCTCCGATTTTTTTTTATTATCAGCCTCATCTTCATCAACATCTTCGTCTTTATCGCTACCAATTTCTTCGTCATCTATATTCTCGTTTTCAACATCATCACCAACTGAATCGACAACACCGTCTCCATCACTATCATTTGCAGCATCGTCGTCGTCGTCTATCAATTTTTCTTCAATTTCATTTGATTGCAAACGTTTATTACTGCGGCGCCCACTACTACGGGCACGTTCACTATCTTTTGTTCCATTAACCAACCCATCATCAGCAATCTCATCAACATTGAATGTGCGTTTACGTCTCTGAGATGCAGATTTATTATTTTTGCCCTCGTTTTCATTGCGTAATCCTAAACGTTTGACACACCGCGCGCAATACCAATTGCCCTCTGGCACTGTCTTCATCTTGGGTTTCATACAGAACATGTGCGTGCCACCATTACATTCGTCGCACAGTAACATCTTGTGCGGATCACTACCTCTACGACACACCTGACACAGAGACTTGTTTGTGGACCGAGCCCACAAAATACAATCGTTCAGAACATTCAAATGGAGAAACACCTGTATTAAAAATAATTAAATATGATAACTATCCAGTGTATTTAAAAAAGTTAACTTCGGTTGCACCGAAACTATAATACCCTTCACATACAAAAACTTAATTTTGATCGGTCAGTTTGTATGGCAGATATATGCTAGTGTTCCGATCTGAACAATAATCCATGCCGGATTTTTAAAAAAGTTTTCCATACAAGGTCATGATTTTGATGGTTTAGTTTGTATGGCAGCTGTATGCTATAGTGGTCCGATATCGGCAGATCTGACAAATGAGCAGCTTCTTAGGGAGAGAATTTAACAAAAATTTCAGATCGATATCTCAAAAACTGAGGGACTAGTTCGCGCATACACAGGCAGACAGACGGACATGGCTAAATCGACTTAGCTCGTCATTTATATATACCATATATTTTATAGGGTGTCCGACTTTTCCTTCTAAATTTTACAAACTGCGTGTTCCTGTTCAGGGTATAATAAAATGCGTATAATTTGTAACTTTATAAAGGTTACCTGAGAATAACTTGTGCTCTCCATTAAAGACACTTCCCATTGTTTCAGCCTAGTCGCCCCCCATTTGACTTTGCGTTCAAAAAATTCTTTATCTTTAATATCTTTTAATGGTGCTCCGAATGGCTCTTTAATAAAACGACGCTCTATTGCCTGCTCCACTTGTAATAGTGCAGACGCACAGTTACGTACGCTAGTTCTTATTGTGTTTGAATCATGTAATGAAATTAGTTCGTCGGCACTGTCTTCTGAATCAATTTCCAGTGTATCACCAAGTCCATCGCCTGGATCTCTGTATGGTTTATTGGCATACTGCCCACCATCTTTTATATCTGTATCGTCGTCTTCAATATCATCTTCGGGAATGTCGTCTTCTTCCCCTCCATTTGTGCCAAATTTTTGTGTATTCGGACCCCATTGCAGCTTAACTTGTGCATCATATTGGTTAGTTTGAAGATCTTCACGCCATTTTTCCATGTCTTTTACTTTTAATCGACCTAGATCACCAGTATAAATGTCGCTTTCGAACTGAATTATACGGTCAATAAGCGCCGTGAGCAATACTTCGTTAAGATCTACGTCAACATTATAACCGAAGTTCGCTTTGTTATATTTGCGGTAAGTTTCAGACATCATTACATTCTTAAATTTACTCAAGCGTTTGTTATCGTCTATTGTTAACAAATCTTCTGGACATTTTCTGCAGTGATTCACTATAAGATGACGCAAAATAGTTAATTGCTCCTTAAGTTGAGATTCACGTTCTCCTAATGGATTCAGTGCCGCTATAAGCGCGTCTATATCTTCTTTCTCGTATATATACGCCCATCTCTGTCTGTCGGCATTGCGTTCATCATGGACAATGCAATTTTTCGGATCACCTGTACACATGTATAGCTGGTATTGTGATGGAGGTGTTTGGGCATCCGACTCATTTGTGTTTTCATTACTTTTTACAGTAATTTCATTGCCTTCAATAACATCTTTACCATTGGTAATACCGTTTACCAAATGATTTTCTTTGTTCTCCTTGTTTTGCTGTAGAACCGGTGAAGAGCCAGTATTTTTAGTCAGTTTAGCTTCTTTTTCAGCCTTGGCCGCTTTTTTATCTTCATTGATATACATTTTCAATAAATAAGCACGTAAATCTTTGCGATTTTTCGGAAGGGTTTCAAAATTTGAAATTAAAGAATTTTCCGTTAACGAATTTTTGGGCGGGTCACTGAGACAAGTGTCTAAGGAGTCGGGAGTGTGCTCAACGAATATTCCAGGCATAGATTCGAATACATAATATTTACGGTATGCGCGATCCATTCCAAGGTAAACAAGAACATTAAATAAAGAAGAATTGAAACCTTCCACCTGTTGCTCGTACTTACGACGCTCGCGATCAGATTGCGTCATTAACTCTGCAATTTTTTTATTAAATTTTTCCTCAATTTGCTTTCGCTTTTCCTCGTTATTCTTTATGTTATCGTCTAAGCATTGTTGGTGAAATTCATTGGTTAAAGTACGCTTCTGCGTTTGAATATTTGCCGCACGTATATTTTCCATGGTGGCTAATACACGTAGCTCTACTCTATTATTTGCCATCTGTTCCATGCGTTCTTCAATTAAATTTATTGGATTTGAATAGGTCAATATTTGAGCTGTAAGACATCGCACAATACGCATGATGTCCAAAAAAGGTAATTGAAAAACAGAATACATTTTAAGAGCCCGCAAAATATGTGGATGTCGCATACGAAGCGTAAGTCCCGGATCCTCCGAGGATGAATAACCGTTTCGATACTTTATGCGCCATTTTTCTGCACGTTCTTTTACTATAGCTCCAGATGAAAGCAAATGTAAACGCAAAACTTCACTGAGAGTTAACGAATCAATGGGCAGCTCATTTATTTTAAAGGAAAAATGCCGTTTAACATAATAATGTGGCCGAGCTGCCTCAGACATTGTTATAAGTGGTTCGCGTTTTCGCATCTCTTTACGTATTCGTAAATATTCAACGCTACACTCATCTTCGTCTTCCTTTTGCATATCAAAAATTGTACCCAGAAAGATCAGGAGAATATCGGATAATGGTCCAGCCACTTCGCGTACACTAAAGGCGCGAGACATTTCATAAAAGCTCAAATTTCCGCGAAATACTTCTATTCCTGATAATATGGTTGGAAAGGAATGCATAAACTCTCGAAGCATGAAGGCATCCCCTAATAGCCTAACCGGAATAAAAGTTTTAACGATTTTATATAAAGGCAGTAATCGCTGATCTGTGCGCTCTAAATCATCAGTCTTAGTGAGCAATGCAGTACATTCTGCTTCAACACGTTCTATTAATTTAGTCCGTTTCTCCACTTTTTGTCGTTCGAGTTCAGCGATGCGCTTCAGCTTCTCAGCCAGTTTTGCTTCTTCATTTTTCTGCTTAACTGCTTCTAAGGTAGGCATTTTTGAACCATTTTTAACATTTTTTTCGCTATCGACCTCTCCATCCTTAGTGAAATATTTATTCAAAGTTGATTGTTTCTTGTTAGTAGTATCTTGAGAAGGGCGTTTGATTTTTGCTGGCGTAAAATGTGGCATTTTTCCAATAAATATTTTTTCAAAAGTGATATTTGGATCTGTTACATATTTTTTGTAAGAATCTGGCTTTGGTCGTAATATGCCATCTACACGTGTTACATTATCTTTCACAAACATCTGTAAATTTTCAGTAGTAAATTCTTGGCGCTGACGACGAATATTCTCAAATGGCAAAATTACTTCATCATTTTGACCTTTTCGTCGCAATTTATATTGGAGTTTCTCAGTTTCTTCATATACTCCATTGGCTGGAGGTGTTTTATTATGCGGTACAACACTTACAACTGTGTATGCGTTATAAGTAGAAGACTTGTGGCAAGCAGTTACTTCTTCATTTATGAAATAACGTTTTCGCAGAAACTTGCATATAATTACACTTAACGTATTTAGAGATGATTGCTTTGAATGTTCTGTAACTAGCATAACTGGCGCTCGGAGGCAATATTTAAAAAGTTCCATTTTCTTGCGCGCCCGTCGTTCGCTTCGCAATGCCTCTGCGTATGTGAGATTGTCGCGTCCAGTGGCCTCGCACTGCCAAACAGTGGAATTTATAACCATTACATGACGGAAGTAATCTCTGTAAATAAAATACTCGATTAGACAATATTACAAATTTTATTAAACCAAGGAAAAATGTTAATTTTGATCGGTCAGTTAATATGTCAGCTATATGCTATAGTGCATCGATTTGAACAATTTGTTCGGAGATTGGACCGTCGTCTTGGACAATTATCCATGCTAAATTTCGTGAAGATTTCTTGTCAAATAAAAAAGTTTTCCATACAATTAGTGTATAATAAGTGCATAATATAAAAGAAAAGTTGACCATAAATCGAGAAATTGCAAGATAAAATTCGTCAAATTTTCAACTTAAAATGGAAAAACTAAAGAAAAACATTTCGAGATTGGTTTTATCAGTTAGATACAATGTCATGTATTCTTTGCGTTCATTAACATCAAACTAGGACTTTAGATGAAATAAAAGGTTGTCGGTATTTTGTATTTAAAAAAAAAAATTTGATTTTAACAATTCCAACATTTGTAAATATTTAATACTTGGCAACTCTACACGCGTGCGTTGTTCGCAAATATATTCCCGCCAACCGCTTGGTATAGCAGCTGTCTGGACACTTTTGATTACACTTCTTTCACGCTTTACACTACACTTTATTTGTCTATGTTTTGCACCCTACTTCTTATATAGCTGCTTTACAAGTAGAGCCAAAATCTTTACTGCAAAAAATATATCCCATATATGAAAATATGTAAAATTGCAGAATGCTATTTTCAACTTTAAAATAACTATGATCGTAATTGTCACTTACTCGTAATCGCGGAAAATGTCTTTTGTAACTTCACAAAAGAACACCTCGTCGTTGTCTTGAAATCTTTCATCCCGATTACGGGATTGCATATTATCGAAACCATCTCTTTTACAAATTGGCATCCTCCAATAGCTTGTAAAAAAATAATATTGATTCTTGTACCGAAGCGACTTTTGCGTTTTGTTTCTTGCTAGCAACAGACAAGCTTCAAGTAATAATTTGGTCAACGGTGACGGTAACGACGCGGTTGAAAATCACAAACACTTCATATACCAAATTTTAAAGGCAACAGACTGTGGATTCTTAGATCTTTTGCACCGCTCATTTAATGCACACAAACAATTCGAAGACAAATTTCGTTTTTATGACTGTTATACAATTTATATTTTGCAAATTATTTAAAAATTTGCCAAAAATCGACGCAGTGTACACTTTTCACGCGCGAATACAAAATTTTACTTTTCTTTCTATAGGAATTGTCTCACGCTTTTCTCTTTCAGAACTCAGTGTTGCTTTGACCACTAAAAGGGAGACTTGTGTAGAAGTGTCAAAATGAATTTGTCATATATCAAGGTTTGGACTAATCAATTTCTTCTATGTCTGGCAGGTACTGAATTTTTATTATATAAACAATAGGATGGAACCGATAAATTCGAAGTAAATAAATAAGAATTAATACTAATACACAAAAACACTTATAGATAAATTCAATATACCGTTCTCAAGTTAATATACATATATATATATCGTAATAAACGTAAGGTCTAGCGTAGCGAGTATTACATGTTTACAGTCGTATACAGTGCAATGTTATCTTTTCCTTTTAGAACTATCGATTAAATAAAAATCTATTATATCGAAAAATGTGATTGTCTTTTTGCATTCTATATCAACCCGTCTTCAAAGGTATTTGTTTTTAATCAGGTAATGGCAAACGTATTGAATCGATACGGACTCACCAGCTTGCACAGGTTAATAATTGTAAGTATAAAGATATTGACAATGTTTAAAGATTTTAACGTTTATTATAACAGGAGAGATGTTTACAAGGAAGGCAAAACGTATCAACAAAACCAATAGGAACAGAAACCTACGCGGAATCGCCCGTATTAGTTGATAAAGATGACCACATCACATTAATTGGCTTAAATCGCCCGATACATCGCAACTCAATAAATGCTGAGACCGCTCAGAAGTTAAGTGAGGCATTGGCTGATTTCGAAAGAGATAAAACTTCACCCGTAGCTGTAATTTATGGTATAGGTGGCTCATTTTGTGCTGGACAGGATCTGACAACGTTGGACACTAATAATGATAAAGAAAATTTTAGTGCACTTTCAACTTATAGGACAATACATAGACATTCTCTAAAACCTATAGTTTGTGGCATCAATGGCTATTGCGTTGGAGATGGTTTGGATTTGGCAATGTTTTGTGACCTTCGTGTTATGGAAGACACTGCAGTTCTAGGTTTTTTTGGGCGGTTCACGGGATATAATGTAAGTTGCGGCGGGATAGCAAGGTTACCAGCAATGATTGGCTTCTCGCGATCATTAGACTTATTACTAACAGGCAGACGTGTTTGTGGACGAGAAGCACTACAAATGGGTTTGATAAACCGTTTGGTAGCAACAGGTACTGCTCTTGGACAGGCGGTTAATTTGGCCTTCTCCATTGCGAAGTTTCCTTCAGAAGCATTACAAAAAGACCGTCAAGCTATGTACAAAAACTGTTATGAACACAGAAATGGACTGAGTGCGGCAATAATAGAAGAAACTAAATCGTTTAATAACAAAGTTTTGCTTGAAATAAAAGAAGGTGTAACCAGATTTAAAGATGGTGAGTTTTTAAGTAAAATATTGTGACATATAGTGAAAATAAAAACTTATTTTTGACTTTTGTAGCAAAAAGTAGAGGACAAAAAACAGATTCCTGGCAAGTAAAGCCGAAAATTATACCAGCTTGGGAACAAGAAGAAATTCTCGAAGAACAAAAATTTGCTTCGAACGGAAATTTTTCAGATAGAAAATGCTGATTTTAGTTTAAAAATTGGATAACAAACATTGTACTATACGTGTTTCTTGTTCTTAAAAGGACAAGCACTGAACTCTTAATTAAAAATATGTATGTCTGAGCAACTTTTAAAAGTATGCAGAAACACAAGTTAATTGTTAAAGTTCAGAATTTTTTTCAAAATACAAACTGTTTTTTTAATGAAGTCTGTTTTTTTTTCAGGAAACCTACGAGGTGTTGTAGAGTCTGATAGTAGCCGGAATCAGAATTGAAACCGATAAAAAATATAGTAGGTCTCATGAGAACGATTGCCGTTCAGGGCGGAATTGGGTAAAAATGGAGCAGACCAAATTCGAATCGGAATAGCGGGAGTTGGAGGGGGTGTTGTTCGGTGTGTAGTGTGGGAGAAAAATAAAATATATTTTTATATTTTAAATTAGGAGACCTTAAAAGCATATTAAAAATCTTTTGCCGATGTAATGAAATACCCCATAACACTCGGGTCTACGTAATCGGAACGGACCTGGATTTTATCCGGCTAAGAACTATCAGCTCGTCAGAATTTTGCTGTTGCAACAACAACAGGGTCCCCTAGAAAGACTCCTTGGCAAATATTACTATTATTTAACCAGATTCGATAACTTGGAAAACAGTTGGGAAACTATTTAGCAACGGTGCCACTGAATATGATTGTGGCGATAATGAAAAAACTCTGTTAATTTATTAGACAAAGAAAATTTCCTAAAGCATTGCATTCAAAATGTACCATTTTACAAAGTGATGGACCAACGGCCCAAGAGAAAATAAATGGTCTAAAACGGTAACCGACATGAATTCAAATATTATTGGTTTGACGTTCGAAACACAAATTGTATCGGTTTTGGGTGTCACGGAAATCAATTTTATCGGTTTTGTTATCAAAAATAAAGCAAAAGGATAGTTGCTGACAGATATGAAATGTAAGTGAAAAAAATTATTTATATTATTGTTCCAATATAATTTATCGTTATTTCTATAGGGGAAATTATAAGAATAAAACACAAAATGGCATAATTGTTAAGTTTATGGAAAAAATCCAGATATTTTAAGAGGATTTATAAAACTTATTAAACGTAATCTAACACCCAAATGCATCTTTATTCAGTCGATAATGTGATATAAATCTGTAAAGTAAGCATGTTTATTAAGTATATTACTGTGATCTCATATTATCTTTCTTTTAATTTTGTCGTTTTTTCCAAGTTTTGTCACATTAGTAAACAGCTGATTCGATAATTGGATTTATCGACGAAAATCCAATCGGATTCTGTGACCACATTAAAAATCAGAATTGGTTTACAATTCTGACAACTACGCCAATCTGTCGTGAATTTTACAACATCCCTGGTTACCAATGGATACTACACATTGTTAAGGTTTATCAATTACAAAATACATTTCATGCCATACATTGCTAGCAATGAACAAATGCCCGCACAAGAACATTGTCAACCTCAATGTCTGCGATGTCTTTGACAGATGGTTAGCAATGTAGATTGCCTGTGGAGATGCGGCGTTATGTTGCTTATTTACCAGCGTAATATCGACAAATCGTTTCACTCGAATAGTATCGAAAATAATTATCGGAACATATAGCCAAAAATACTAAAAACAACTAATTTTAGGTATTAAATTGAAGAGAAAATAATAGGGTAGAGCAAATCATTTAGACTTTCATATCACTGCTTAAATAATTAAAATTAAACTCCTGGGGGTATCGGAATAAGCATCGCCATCTCTAGAGGGTGTACGACTACAACGTGCAGTCTCTAATTTATTGAACATCCAGGTAAAAAATTAAATAGGATATAGCCAAAAAATAATGAATTTGCTTCGACGAATCACTCAGCATATAAACAATAATGCCATCACCGGTGTGCTCTCACCTGATTTTCAAAATATAGGTTCCAGAAGTATCTATATTACGAACCGCCTGCAAAAAGCTGAAAAAGGTAAATCGTTTCGTGTTCTGAATGACATAAGTTTAAAATTAATACTATTATTTTTGTATAATGTAGATGGTCCAATTGAGAAGAATATAATAGTAGACAGAGATAAAAATGTCACATTAATAGGCATAAATAGACCACAGGTGAGAAATGCCATTAATGTAGCCACTGCGACACAACTTTGCGAAGCATTCAACGCATTCGAGGCAGATGATTCATCTCCTGTTGCAGTTTTATACGGTATTGGGGGATCATTTTGTGCCGGTTATGATATTCTAGAACTTGGAAAAGATGGAGGAGAACAAGTTAGTATTGATATCCTAATGGCACATGAAGGGTCAGTGGGGCCAACACGGCGTCATATACAAAAGCCGGTTGTATGTGGTATTAGCGGTTATTGTATTGCTAATGGCTTGGAACTTGCATTAATGTGTGATCTCCGAGTAATGGAGGACACAGCTGTATTGGGTTTCTTCAATCGGCGTTTTGGGGTTCCCGTTATCGACGGTGGTACAGCGCGATTGCCGGCATTGATTGGATTTTCCAGAGCATTAGATTTAATACTGACTGGAAGACAAGTGTGTGCTGACGAAGCGCTATCTATGGGCGTTGTTAATCGCGTCGTACCACCTGGCCAATCCTTAATTAAATCTGTGGAATTGGCGCAAACACTTGCGAAATTTCCACAGAGAGCACTTAATCATGATAGAAACTCGTTATATTCAGCCGTTTTTGATGCAGCAAACTTTAATCAGGCGGTTCAAAACGAAGTTATGTACACATCAAAAGAAATAATTGAAGAAATGCAACAAGGCATAAAATGGTTTATACAAAGTAAGTTAGTATATGCAAACAACAACACAGTCTACAACATTCAATAAAAAATAACAATGAATATTACAATTATTAATTTTTGTTTTAGCGTTCAAATCCGATACATCACATTCGTGGTTAAAACGAGAGAAGTCAATGGCCGATTGGGATGATAAAAACGTTGCTGCAGCAGCTGAACAAAAAGAGCTTGAAAAACAAACAGCTGAAGCAGAACGTTTGGAAGCAGAGAAAAAGACGAAAGAAGCTAAACAAACAGAAGAGCGAAAAAAATAGCAACATTCATATGGTGAAAACTCATATTTTCTGCGTAAATGTTTATAACTGACGGAATTTAAATTAATTAATATGTTATACTGAGTATTCTTTTATTAAAATCTAAATTCACATATAACACGATTAAAAAAAAGCTGAACCCGACAGAACGTTTACAAGTCATGAATAAAGTTGTGCATACATCAAACGCAAAATATCAAACATATGGTTACATATATGTTTAGTAGTTACTTTATGGTAAGCTTTACTTTTTTCAAACTATTGCATAATACGATTTGCCTCAGAAAAAAAATCGCTAGCAATTTATTTGACCAAAGCAGACTGTTGTTATAGAAAATTTTTTTAAATCTTGAATTTGCTTTAAGATATAAAATTTATAATGTGTAACTTATGAAACAAACAAATAAAAATGAACAATGTCACACCTACTTTACTACGTAATTTATTTCTTTGCTTACATCAGACATCGATATATGGTTATTAAAACTTTGAATCTCATCTTTTAAGAATTTATCCTCTTAAATTAAAAATTTTAATAGATTAAGTAATTCAAAGAACTATTACGTTCTCCTTCGGTTAGTTAGTTAGTTTTCATTGAGTTCGTAAAACATATTTCAACAGATATAGGCTGACTTCGCAAACGTACTACCGCAAAATATCGAGTATTTATACCAGAGAATGTAATTTACGTCCATTTACGTTCTCTGGTCAAACAACATTTCAAAACGTTGCGTTGTATTGTATAATATGACGTTACAGCAGAGAACGTAAATTCCATTACGTTCTCTGGTTATACTTCCCTCTGTATTTACGCGAAATAGTCCCTTAGTTTTTGAGATACCTGAAGAGATAGGCGGTGCTTGTATGTAAAACTTTTTCTTTGATGAAATATCGTCCCGAACTTCGTCATAAATTAATCAATCATATTAAGTTATTGTTGTAACGTACAATCTTCGAACAAATTGTTCAGAATGGACCACTATAGCCTATAGCTGCCATACAAACCGATCAAAATCAAATTTGTATAGAAACTTGTTTATTTGTGAAGGAAATTGGCCGGATAAAATCCGGGTCAATTCCGGTATCGCAGAACCGGCTGTTGTGGGAATTGCCCGTGCAACCGTAGTTAATGTCGGCGGCATTCTTAAGCAATTTATTTATCTATTTGACCACTTTAAAAATATTTATACCCGTACTTACGATTGAATATTTCCTTATTTACCTAAAAACTATACACATGATAACAAATTTTCAAGCAAATACCATTTACCAACCATTTAATAAAAATAAGAAGTATATATTCCTTTTTGTAATTATATTTGGTTCACATTGGCAATCATAAAAATAATGGAATCACTTTAAGAATGTTAAAAAATAGTCGTTTGTATTTTTTTTAGTATTACTCAACAATTTATATGTAATAGTTTATATTTATATTTGTTAGAAATAACATATTTTATATAATATTATCTGTTTTTATTTATAAATACTAATAACCCCATTTTTTGGTAGTTTTTGAATAGCGTGTGCTGTGTGGTGTTTAGCGCATTAAATATCATTAATTCACCTGTTGCATTTAAAGTCTCATAAACATTTCATATTCATTTATGCAATACAGAATTTAAACTTAGTAATAATGTGACGATTCTCTTTATTTCTAAATTAATTCGCTTCTATTATCCAATTATATGGTATCACCAGTGAGTATGACTGCATCATATATTCGTTAAGCATATATTTAGGTACGCTACTTCCGGAGACGATTGCTTTATTTATTTTACATATGTATGTACTTATGTGCAAGCGTACAATTCTGAGAACATGAGACCCTCGGTATAATTATTAAATTTCAAGACACGTTATGGAAAAAATTAATAAATAAAAATTTCAAGTGTTCGTACATATGTTTGTATGTATAAAAGAAATTGATCTGCTAGTTTACTTCAGTGTAATGATTTATTAGTTTACATTGCAAAAACCGAAACTTATCTTGTTAAGCTCTTTGATGTCATGCCATATTGTTTGTACGGTATTGTTTGAAAACTCCACACACTCACAACACTAGATTATTCATATACAAGTTTTTGTATTACTATTACCTAAGAGATGACTACTCCAGCAGCCAATCTCTATTAGTTTTGCTGATAATTCACCCACACTAAATTTTCCAACAGATTTATCAATATCTTCTCACATACACACACGCTCACTTTGATCTGCCACTCGTTGCTGGACGCCGTATATATTTTATTCAGCTTTTTTGTGTGTAATTAACGCATCCGCCATTTCTTCTTTAGATTGATCCTTATCGCCCCAACCCCAAGTGGCGTGTGTACCATCGCCCGTACGTTTAACGCGCTTTTCGATAATGTCGTGAGACACCTGCTTTAGATCGTATGCCCAACCGATTTTGGCGAAGAAGTCAATGAAAGCCGTAGTCAAATTCAGCGAATAGTCGCCAAGTTCAGCGGTCTTGTAATCCCATGGGAATACATGATGATAGTTGTGCCAGCCTTCACCGAAGGCGAAAAGAGCAACTGATTTATTTTCGGATGGATTGATAAATCTATGTATAGAGAAAGTTTAATAAAAATAATAGTTCATATCACTTAATAAACAAAAAGTTAAAATTAAAAGAGAAAATTTCTCTTTATAGTATTATGCATGTTTGTACCTGTCATAGGGTTTGCCACCAAATTTGTGGGCTGCGCTATTAACCAACCAAGTTACGTTTAAGGTGAAACACCAACGGAACATAGCAACAACAAACCATGAATTTACGAATTTTTCATTCCAAGCATACATCGGAATTAGAGTTGGTATCAAAAAACATAGAATTGGCATCAAAATCATATAATATCTAGATGAAGAAATATATGCATGTATCGATTAATAAGTTGAAAACCAATGCAAACAAAAAACTTTACTTTTTTTGGAACATCAAAACCGAATCAGCGCGTAGATCGGACAAGTCCATTCCTTTACCTTTGGCTTTGACTTGAGGGTGTTTCTTGCACAATAGCCAGCCGATGTGCGAAAAGAAGAAACCGCGTGTGGCATTATGTGGGTCAGCATCCGTTTCGGAATATTTGTGATGCACACGATGATCCCGTGCCCAGTGGTAGGCAGCATCTTGGAAGGCAATTGTGTTGAAGATCATTAGAATAACTCGCAGGGGCCATTTGGCTTTGTAGGAGCGATGAGCCCAAAGGCGATGTGCACCCGCGGTAATACCCAGCCCGGAGATAGCATATAACAACATTGCTGCAGAATAAAATAATATACAAAAATAAATAACGTAATTGTAAATGCCATACTGTTAGCTTACATAGCTACGATAAATATGAATGTTAAAAATGCAAATCATATTGTATATATATTTTAGGAATCAATTAATATCGCGATGTCCTGGATTTCAAAAGATTGACATTACACAATACTAGCGGGTTACGACGAAGTTTCTCAGAGAGTAATGATATTCTTATCATTTGTAATAATAATATTGTAATACATATTGTGTTGTTATTATGCAATTTGTTTAATTAAGATTTTCTTAAAATAAAAACTTATACTCACAAATTTGTCGTAAATATTCATATAAAATAAGAGTAATATTAAATGTAATACACAAATATTAGGATACATTGCAGATATGTTCACTTTATATAAGATTGAGTGTAATTCGGCATTATGGATTTAGAAGAATGTTCTGACGTAGCAGCGTACGGACTGGATGTGTTCAGCAACCGTCTTGAAGTGAACGATTTCAAAATTTGATTCTGATTTGTTGTGTTTTTTCGTGCAGTTTGCATTTGTGCAGTCGCGCTACCATTCCCGAAGGCTGCTTCACCATCTACACATAATTCACTTCGATAGCCTCGTACTGCTGTCGGTGACAAATGCTCAGTTTGCACGCCCTCCTCTCTCTCCTCATATTCCTCAACTACATTATCCGTATTCGAGTTGTTTTCACTTTGCTGTTGTAAGGGTGGCGTTTCAACTATTTTTCGAACGTCTACGATTTTTTTTATATCATCATTAATTTCTGTTATCTCCAGAGATGGTGTGGGTGTCACATTGGCAAGACTAAAATCCAATGGTATGTTATTCATTATGTCATTACTAATAACTTCAAATGGGTTTCGGTATTCTCTACTGGAACGAAATTCTCGCAATTGCGTTAGCGGGTGATCCAAAGAGTAAAAGTCTTGAGAAATATGGACTGTATTGAAATTAGCTTTTAAATGGGCTTTCTGGATATGCTGATTACGTTGATTATGCTGTCGTACTCGAGGAAGATATGCCCAACGACCACAGTGACGCACTTGCTTATTATTTGAACGCATGCGCTTCCGCGCGCGTTCGAATTCATCGCCTGAAATAGATTCTTCGTCACTGCAACCCCGAGTTCGCTTCATATTGGGGTCTAAGTTGCTACGACTACAACGTCGTGGATTCTAAGTGGAAGCAATGAAATAATCGTACATGAAATAATGTATTATACCTCAACATTGACAAGAGTGCTTACATTGCCTCGAAACACACGACGATCAGGAGTTCTTGAATTCGGCTGAGCACTGGGACTTGGCACGACGGCGGCGCATCGCCCAAGCGCATACCTATACATCCCATGCCGATCAATCAGGCCAATCTCGCTTAGATTTTTTAATGACTTTCCCACAGCGCTAGCGAGATTGGCCACCGGTACCAAGTTACGCATTTGATGCTTGACTTGGTCAATTATTTGTGACGTGCCGACCACTTGATCGCGATTTCCCCCACTCAGAAAACCCAACGCCTTCAAAACATGTCGATTTACTTTCTTCGGTACATTGAAATGATCCATAATATGCAGGTACTATTTTTAATTACGTGTTAATTTTATTTGCGGTTGAAAATGCTATTTCGTTTTTAAATCTCACAAATCCGGAGATTACACAAAAATTTAGCTAATACTACTAAAAGGAAAAACAAATAATTTTGCAATAGCGCTAATATATATTTTTTTTGGGAACAAAAAACTAGTTTAAAAAAATTAAGTGTTAAACAAAATTTTTTGTATAATTGTTTCAATGTTTGATTGAAATTACTATTCAAACTTCGATGGGATTAAATTCCATTTGAGTTTATTTCTCGAGTTGTTTTAGGGGTTCCATGGGTCTTGTAAATTTAAATAGTCGGGTTTTTAGTGTGCAATTCTACAACTCTGAAATTTTCAAGGCGATCCGAGCTAAATTTTCCCACTCAAAACTTCTCGATAACTTATGAACCGATCGACTTGCAATTTTGCATACATCTTTTAAACATGTTTGACTACTGTTTGAACGAAGAAATTTTTTTCATCATTTACAACTCAATTGAGAGGGTAATACGTAATACGTGACCAAATTTAGTGCAAAAGTGCATATGATTTGCGAAAAACGCAAAAAATAATTCAATTTTTATGTTTTCTTAAAATCTATCGTTCAAGTTCAAACAGTAGCTATACTCATCTACTAAAAGAAAAATGTTGGGTTTTTGATTTTAGGTAAAAATTACCTAAGTTACAGTGAAAACACTTTTCTGAAGGTGACGTTAGTTAAGGCGTTTTGATTTAAATTTACAATATTTTTGAATGCAAATTTTTCAACATGATGTTGACATTATATACACACGTGTAACAAGAAATAAATATGATACTAATGTTGTAGGTTAGAAAAAAAAATCCTATATATTTCTAATATATCTTATTTATATATGTATTTTGAAAATTTTGGCGAATTTCTTTTTTTATGTTAGTTATTTAGATTGCAGAGTCATACCATATATTATTAATATATCATTGGTAAACAGTATTCACTACAAATATAATATAATGTGTAAGTTATATATATTTACTCACCGCATGTTATAGTTTGCCATTTGGCCGATGTCAACATTAGCCATAGACCATATACAGCAGCCAGATGTACGTAGACGAATGCGGTTATATTTCTCCAAACAAGCTTGATTCTTCGTTTCTCGGCTTTCTTCAATTTTTCAATGTCCTTCACAAGGCCACCATCGTAGGTTTCCGCATCCTGTTCGAAGAGTACACCTGTGGAATTATCAGTCAGTGATTTCGCATCTTCACTATCTCCGTTAACCAAAGAGTTGGTTATCGATTGTGTATTTGCTGTGGCATTTGGTGGCATGTTTATTTATTATTAGTTTTACTGAAATTAAGATCAAAATAATTGACATTATTACATAATCTATTTTAAGAGAGCAAAGATGCAGAAAGGGAAATTTAATTTAATCTGGCAAAATTCTAACATACATACATATTATCATTTACTCAATTCTTTAAAGAAGCATTTATGTTTGCGCGTCGGACCAACTAAACAATTAATATACATAATTCGGTTTAAAAGTTATTTATTTTATTATTTCACCTCGGCACTACATATGTATGTATGTATGAACAAATACGTAATATCACCGATGTCTAGAAAAAATCAATAGAGCGGGATTTGGAATAAAATCCTACATATTAAGCAAATGTTAATCGTTTTGTGATGAAATCTCAAACTGATGACACTAGTAACACTTATTTATACATATGTATGTAATAACGCTGTCACGTACCGCATGATAGTGCATGGTGAAGGATACACCTTTGGAAATCACCAATTAGCACATTGGGATATCCCTTGCATATGTATGTATACATATTATTGTTTTTTTTTTTTAATTCCGCTCAAATTTTTAATATATTTAAGTTTGTACAAGTAATAAGTAAAGTAAGCAAGCAAGGTGTTGAACTCCGTGACTTAGGGGTTTTAAGAATTTTATAAAAGCACTTTTTATTGGCTGCACTTTGTAATAAGCTAGTTGCATACCAATATAAACACTAGTTGAAGCCAATTTATAGCAAAAATACGTATTTTATTTCACTACACTTTAGTATGTTCCACTCTCTGCCTACATACCTATGAAATTGTGCACATATCCAAATTCGCGATAATAACGTATGTAAGTATGTATGTACATATATACTATCGGGAAATAATTTTATTTCCAATTAAGTTCATATGTATAATAAATTTGATTTTTTGAATTATATACATATACATTTGTGGATAAAACTCACTAATTGTAAAATTTACCAACCTAATAATAAATTTCTTTTTTACTTATCCTTCACGATATTATATGTTATATTTCTCGTGTGATACGCTTAAAATGAACTCGACGACTGGTTAGCAAGACGGACATGTATTCCTAAAAATTCGTGAGAGTATAAGTTCACTGAGCGCGTATTCATTGTCAGAAAAAAAAGCTCTAGAAGAATGTCTGCAGGTGGTTGTTAGAGAGTTCCTGAGAGAACCATCAAAACTGTTTTATGTAGCCAAATGCAAACATTTTCATTTTCTCCACATGAATAAGGAGAAGCAAAGTGTTGTTGAGTTTATGCATGTTCATATGTTTTCATCTTAAGGTCAAGGTTTTTACCTTTATATGCGAAATGAATGTGAAGGTTTAATATGAGCGTCTAGAATACAACTACATTCAAATTTAAAAATTAAGTATCGAGCCTTGACACATACTAATTACATACATACATACATATGTATACCATATGCAGACATAGTAATAAATTATAAAATACATATTTACGTGTTTATAAATATGCTACTTTTTTATTACACACATAGGTCTATATACCTGTGAATATTAAAACTTGTTGCACTATTAATTAATATTATAAAAATGTATATTTGTATTATAATTAAAACTATGTTAACGGTGAACCAAGAATATTTACACATCTGTATGTAGTTATAGAAAAATTAAGCATTATGCCGTCATGCAAGTATAAATATTATAATTTAGTTTTATTAGTATTAGACGTTTAATTTATGCACACATGTGCGAGTATACATAAGCGATGAGAGCATATACTTATATTTTCATGTTTTTAGAAATAAATACATATGTTTACACATACAGTAACAGCCGGCAAACAATTGGGGGAATACACTCATAAAATGCGGACCGACCTGCTCTTAGAGAGTGAACACGCCATTTCACTTTGTAGAGAATTCGTACAAGACGTTTACTTTGGCATGCCAGTGATAGCCAATGAATAATTTATTATATTTTCTTCACTAAGACGACTAAATTGGCAATTACCAGAAATGTTTAAATATCGAATTTAAAATTTGTCTATTTCCATTCTAGCGTTAATCGAGGTGATAGTTTACCCGCATTTCTTTCGAAAGAATATTTATTGTGTAGATGTGAGTAACCCCAAGGCACCTCTCAAAATAGCGCCAGCCAACCGGCGAATCGAGTTGCTGTGCGTAAAAATCACGCGATTGTGGCGTGAGAGCCGATGCTGGCGTGTACTTTTATAAAACAAGTCTATAATATCACACATGCTAAATATGTGCAAAAACATACACGTGGTATGGATGCCGATGTTAAAAAAAAAGGTAGCTGCATACATATACATATGTATGTATGTAAATACATAAAAACCGTTGTGCAGAGAAAAGATTGGGGGGATCTTTATCATGCAGTAATTGCTCCAGTTTTCATTGCAATAACTTAAACCGAATGCAGTTGGATGGCACAAGAAATAGTTAGATTTGCTCTCCATTATAAACATCGTATCTCAATTGATGAAGAGAGAGCTTTTTTCTGCATTACCTTGGTAATGAACTAGTTTGCGCCGCTGTTATCAAATAATTGCGAATTGCGACATTAAATAAAAAAATGCAGTGAGCTGATACTGTTATCACAACTTGGTGAACTGGCATATACTATAGGTTTTTCTCTTCGAAATGAAGAGAAATTCATTTAATATGTTTTTTAATTAACCTCTATATGTTCGAAAATAATATTTATTATTATTCATGCTTTATTCAACTAATATTAATTCAGAGCTACCTCCGATTGTCTATTCCTACAGCAACTTTAACTGGATAAGCAACAGGTCTTTTGCTATTATCTACTCAATTCCGAAATGTATGTACTCGTACATGCTATGTATGTACATGCAGATGTATGTATGCATGTATATAAATTACAATACTTCAATGAATCACAGAAATGTTTAGTATGTGTAAATGGTGCTCCATAATTTTAGCTAGTATTCGATCGGAAGCTGTCAACTGGCATATTGTAGGAAATCACTATGAAAAAATGTAAGTTTCGTTTGGAAAAAGGATAGTCGTCGAGTTAGTTGTGCTTGTGGCTCTAGTATTGGAAGAATATCTAAACTAGTTGATTTGACTGCAGACAATCTGTACTTGTGTCCGTTATTTTTTTTTTTGGTTTGCAAGTTTCAGTTTTTGTTCTAAAACATATCTAACGTAAACAAGCGTATAAAAGATATTAAGACCATTGTGGAGTTTCAAAAAAATCGTTTTTGGTTTTTTTTCACTTATTTATAGTCAAAAAAATTCAAGTTGATGTTTAGCGAGGAAATTTTTTCGACGACTTTAAGATTGGTTCCAGAAAAAACCGTATCAAGAAAACATTGATCATTCTCCTAAATGTGTTCTATTTTCAATTAGTCTGACCAGTAAGTAAATTTAGTCGTATCCACAAAAGAGGAGTACCTCTAACTTTGAACTTAACTAAAATTATTTAATTAATTTAAAAAAAAAGTTTTGAATCGTGCTAAATGGAATAAAATTGTCCAAAAAATTAAAAGTTGTTTTATTTTTAAACCGTGTTAAATCAAAACCATGCAAAAACAGAATTAGGTGTATAAGTAAGCCCACATCCGGCTTAGCTATATTTAATTTTGACTTTAAATTTTGAGATTATCTTTAAAATTGGATTTTGTATTCGATTCATTTAAAACTTTTTTATGGCCAGTTTATTACGAAATTATAGATTAAATATTTAAATTTTCTATATGTGTCCATAATTTTTGAAGGAATCAATGTTTTCAAATTTCCCTACCTTTTTTTTTATTTTGTTCCAGGATGACAATTGCGAAAGCTAAAAACAAGGGAGCAAAGAGACATCGCACGATTTGTTTATTTATAGTCAACAAAATTAAGCGAAAAAAATGTTCATCAGCTTAAAGTTCAAACTTGATAAGTGTTTCATTAGTTCTGTGACTAAATGATTATATCACGAAAAAAATTAATAAATCTGCACATGAATTTATACTCGCTACAGTGGCCATACACATTCATGATTTTTTTCATAAAACCACTGCTTTAAGGGTTATACGCAGTTAAAGTTATGTTTGATGAGTTGTTCAGTAACTGAGCATTCATACAGTCGTATGAGCAACACAGAATTTATAAGGTACTTGTATGAATGCTCAATACATTTGATGCATAACTTTAACTGAGTATCAATTATAACGTAGAATCATTAAGCCTTTGCTTACAGTGGAGCATTTCATATTAGAATATTATTTCTTCAAAGTTTCAGTTTATTTTCTTTAGAGAGAATAAAATGTATGGGCAAAATAAAATTATTTAGTCACAGTTTAAATTGAAATTAAAGAGCTTGTTGACGTTGGGCCTTTTATTTTTAAGGGACACCTTAATGTACATACACAATTAACTTCTAATGGTCTATTCAACAATAAAAATAAAAAATTATTAAACAAGAAAATTTACAATTCAGCAATAAGTCATACTAAATATTTATAAATTACCACTAAATTTTAATAGACTATTGTGAAACAAAAGAAAGCATCTCTCTGAGCCTATATAAAAAAAAAGGTTATTTTATATGTATATGAACCATATATCTACTATATACATATGTACATATAATTATAAAATTCTTAAAATAATTTTGATAGAAAACCTTTATTCGGTTAATGGACCTAGGTATGAACACTAGTAGTTATGGAAGATGAATATTTGAAATACTTGTATTCGTATTTATTGTGTAAACGAAACACTCAAAAGTTTCTTATACATATACAATATATTATTTTGTCTAATGGTGTTTAAAGTCCACAACAGAATGTCCGAATAAAATACCGAACACAATGGAGGTAAAAGCTACAGATTTTGCCAGAAGGATATACAGACCGTTAAATACGTATGCATATGTAATTATTCTTACAATTTAAAAATATGTACATATGTACATAAGTACAGTAGGTGCATACATTTTATTATACTCCAAAGCTTTGGTTGGACAAAACTCTATTAACTTTGGGTTCAAAAGAGAACGGTATTGTGTAATGAAATCATACATTTGAAATATACATAAGTAATTATACTAAGTAATCTAATGTTATGTATATGCATACATAGTAGGTATGTAAATGAATAATTATTTGACAGCTAAATATGAACACATACATTGCGCGACATCAAGTTAGCCCACCTTCATCTGCCTAATTCAATTGCTTCTGATTTTTTTTTAACTTACAGCTACTTAATTGTTTTCTGGTTTCCTCATCTTTGTATGAACAATCACTGGTAAAGAAAACATGCGATAATAGTGCCCTGTTTTATGGTGTTTACCATTTTCTCTTCATTTTAGCCGAAAGCGTGCTTTATTTTTGCGTCATCAGGTTAGCACATGCAATTTGATTTGCATTTATCTTTGGAGTTAGAACACGTATCGACACCAAATTTTTTGTATTGCTTAGGAACTCTATTTTATATAATATGGCTATACTAAAATCGTTATCGGTTGAAATGAAAGCAATAATGCTTATGAATAGTTAATGCTTTCAATAATTGAAATATCAAAAAAAAAAAAAAAACAAGTTGGCAAAATTCAAAAAGTTCTTGGGTAATAAGTGTTAAAGAATATTATAAAAAAGTGGTATGTGCTAACCTGATGACTTAATTTAAATTGTTAATTTTTTGTTGATTTCAAAGAAAAATTTTTTTAAAGATGGAAAATGGTAAAACACTAATTGTTGTTTTATTTAGTCGAAAAATGATTTGTTAATAATCGCTTTCAATTTTAGAATTATAGTTTCTTTAGTTTTGTTAGAAATTAACCAAAACTATTTAATCTGATGACTCGCAGTGTATGTATGCTTTATTTCCTTTATTCACTATGCGTTTTTAAAGAGGGCTTTAACCTTTGATCGCCAGCGTATAAGTTTTTGTTCAAAAAATTTGCATAAACTACAAGCCTAAGCAGAACCTCCAACTTAAAATAATCTGTTTCCGCTTTGAAGTGAAATTGGAAGTATATATATAGTAGTCATATTATATACATATACGTATACATATGTACAAGTGCAGCAAGCGCTTACATGTGGAAAGTACGTATAATATATAAAGTAATACAAAGACGCACCCCGTCATCAAGGGATCAGGTATCAATGAACTGAATATTTTAAATGAGAGTTCCATTTCCATTTGTGCTAAGTAATGCAAATTTTTTTTACCTAGGCACGCGCCTATTTAATACGTAAAGTATAAAGAAAATGCACGCCATACTTTGAAGTTGTCAATGCATAATTCATTTAGGAGTTTAAAGTTGTGTTACAAATACATATTTTAATACTTTTTCCGTAAATATGTGTAATATTTAGCTAACAATTTAACAGAAAAGAAATATACTTAACTTGTACCTAATGAAACTTAGCGCATTAAATCTTTATGATTATGTTCACTTATATTTAACGGGGTTGTCTATCTTCGCGGCTTGAAAAAAACAAACGAATTTGTTTTGCATATTTCTAATGTAGACATATGTAACTATAAACATGAGCTATAAAGGGTTTTAACGAAAGCATGTCGAGCCACAAATTCGGCCCCGAGTTGACGGGTTGACGATTTGTCATTTATCTTTTATCCCGTTTTTCCAAAAGTAGTTTTCTTTTAATTTTTGGCACGATTCGGACAAATCTATAAAAGGTATAAGAAATCTGTAAATATTTAATAATTTACAAAGCAGCTCGCTATGTTTAGACATATTTTAGAGATTTTTTTAAATTTTTTAGTCTTTTTTGGCATAACTGCGATTTTAAACATTAAGTAAATAAATGTTTGGTTTCAAGGTTCTGATATAATATCTTTTAGCAAGAAGCCGACTACCTCGCACCGATAGCGGTGCATTCAAGAAGGCTTCAAGGGCAAAGTTTAAAAAAAAATATATTTCATATCATCCATATTTAATAACTAATTGATAAAATAAAAAACAATATTCGAATAGAATCTGTATTTTTTTGGGAATGTAAACAATCATCTTAAAACATTTGTATCTGATAAATTGTTTTAGTAGCTAAAATTTCATTTGAAACGAATTTCATTTTACAATAGTTATCAAAATATAATTGTATGTATGAATTCCTGAATTTATAATATACATACGCTTAGATTTAAGAAATTCAAATAAGTGAAAAATAATATTAGCAAAATTATAATAACAGCAGTTTCGGCATGCTCTACAATGAATCGAGTTTTTTTAATTCAGATGACAAAAAAGCATTTAAGGTTAAAAAAGTGGTTTGCATGGCTGAGTAAACATTAAAACATACGTAACATAAATGTATACAAACAAATATGTATGCATTTACTTGCTTATTTAAATAATTTAAGACACCTTGAAATTTTGTGTCTACGTGCTAATGACAACCGAGGAACGGAGAAACCTATTCTCCTTGAATTTTGACGAGATGCTGCTGGCAAAACTTGTTGTTGAGAATTGCAGTGTTACTTAAGCACAGAAAGAACTATTGTTGTATAATCACGACAAGGTATCACACTAAAAGCTAAAACAAAAACTAAAACTAAGCAATGAAGCATATACCCATCTATGTATACTGCAAAAAATGTTAAAATAAAATTTCCAAAAAGAAGAATATTGCAAAAGCACACTCGTTGGTTGACCAAATGTGAAACAGAGTTGAAGAATTTTAAAATAATACTAGAAGATATATTGTCATCGAGGCAATACGCCCTCAAATAGTTATTCTTTTAAATGATTGCGTTTTCATAACTAAACACTAACCTCTTTCAGATTCCAGGAAAGAAAATGTATCACAAATGTATTATATTTTTCTTCTTGACGTTGACGTTCAAGCTTTGCAAATATAAATAAGAACAGTGAGTTATCCACAAATTGACGTTTAGGCCTTTATATATGTATAGGTATGTGGGTTTATTGTAAATTTTACACTTTATATTGTTGTGACATAGAAAAGCACTCGCGTTGTTTGAGTGTAATTACGCAGCTTTAATATCACGACTGCTATATCACTACCAGGCGTCCGTACTATTCGCGACTTCTATTCGAACTGATCTTGTTCAAGCGACGTATGCACCTTTAGACAGCGTTAGGGCTTGCAATCGTTTATTAGATCTATCGACGCGTGTTCTCGTTTGCTTGAGGTGCCTTCTGCACACAATCTCACAGCATGAAACGTACTGAGAAAATCAGCAAAATACAAAAAAAATATAATTTCTATGTGTACTTATGTATGTATGTAGGTATCTTCGTACCTTCGCAACATGCGATTTTGACCTATAATATGTACTTAGTTACGGCGTTCCCAGTAGTTCTCAAATATCTGTATGTGTTCTATCCCTAATCATATTCGGAAAAAAACTTATAAATAATATATTAGTATTAATCCAATTACTAGTTGTTATTTAAGACTTTTTTTATTTTGCAAATATCACCACTGAGTCAATCGATGATCGTGCACTAAAATATACTTATATTTTAGACAAATACATGCGCTTATAATCTTACGGTCAAAGGGGCTAACCAAACTACGTTGCGTAGAAATAATCGTATGTTTTATTCCTTAAATCTGAAGATTAATTCTGTAATCATTTGCTTATTTTACAGTAATCACTTGTCTATTATTAACACGCACTTCTCATGCACGTAAGTTTATGATTGGCAGTGAGTTTTATTATCGAGAGTTTTGGTGATAATTGCATCATATAAAAGTAAATGCTTTTATTTATGTTTATTATATCATTTTCTAATAATTCGTGACAAAGAAAACAACAGAATGTCATAAATTATGAAAAAGTATTATATGAAACTTAAAACCAATAAGGAGAGATTAAGTTTAACCTAATGAGATTAGATTCGATTGAAAACGAGATATTCATTGCGACCTGTAGTCTTTTGTGACATCTTCGAAAAACCAACACTAATGTGCCCGGACAATAGAGGCAATATGGTCCCTTTGTGGTTACAACTATCAGAAAACTTTACTTACTTCTGGCATTCGTGGACGCATTAGAAAAAAAAACAGATTTCCAGCTCTTTATATTAGTTTTTAAGCTTTCTCATAACAGTAAGCCGTTCCGGTTCCGGGTCTGTTATGGGTAGGTTTTGTGTCTTATATACAATTGTTATTTTAGACTTTTGTTGCGGACGGATAAAAAACCATAAATTCCAATATTGTTATGATTAGTCAATTAGCTTGCGAAAAAATTTTTTATCGAAAAGTGAACAAAGGATTTCATAAAATTGTTTTATTCTAAGGATATTCTCAGAGACATCACTGCCACTAAATTCAAATTTCTAAAATTATGAGAAATTTTTAAGCTTCTTAAATATTATGTTCAACTCGAGCAGTTACCATGCAATTTTACCCATTTTAAAGCCGTGCATTGTACAATTGTTGTAAGCATATCTGAAGATTTTATTCAGTAAATTTTAATTCTGTACTTAAATGATCAAACATTTTACTTTTTATAATTCTCGGGTATGATTTTTTTCGTAAGCTTTTAACAAGTTGTTATTATGAAATATATTATTTATTGATTTAAACACTAACTTGTACCACTGTACATACATATGTATAAAAGGCTTTATATGACTACAATATAAATTCCTAGTACACACTATGCCTGGTTATTTGTTGGAAGTTATTATTAAAATGTGCTTTTTCTTGATTGGTCATAAAAACACCTATGCAATTTAGCGGATTATAGGCTAGCAATTGAGCTCTAAGAGTTAATTTTAGTATTTGATATTAAGTTCAAAAGTACAATAATAATAAGTTAATTTACAGACTTTCTTCTTCTGAATCAATAGCTTAATATATGACATTAGATTAATATTATTATTTACATATTTTTTAAGGGGAAAGAGATTATAGGTGAAAACTTAGAAAACTTTTTATGTTAATTATCGAGATATGGATGATCTTGAATATATTTTATATGGGTTAGCAAATTTTTTAGATATCAGCAGTATAAATTATATTTTTAATAAACAGTTTTTTCTGATATCCAATCTTATTATATAATCGAAATTTGAATATTTATACTTTCGTGCATACTTGCGAAGCTTATAGAGAGCTTTACAGCTTTATTTCTGTCAGCAATGAATGTATGTTGTATGTCATATAGATTATATGTGCGTTCAATTGGAAATTGACACGACCATACGGATACATTACAAAAAAGTATGTATACGCGTACAAATTTTGTTCGAATTCCAGCGATTGATCACGTGTTACGGAAAGAGCAAATTATTTATTCATAATCTAAATCCATATTAGTACATTTATATATTATAATTATAATTACAAATATATATGTATTTAATTAAGTTATAGTTTCATATGTATTATATTAATTTATGTATTTCTCCGAGATTTAATAAGAAGTTACATACCCTGGCCCATTGTACCAACCTGCAAGTAACTAGAAAACTGTCAAATTTTTATAAACAAAAACACAAACACCCTTCTAAACTCATGCAATAACTTTTATTTGAAAGCTTATAAGGAACAATTTTCGGAGAGCAGCAGAGGAGCAGCAGATTGTATCGCGGAAATGGCCATCATTGAAATAACTACTTTTAAGATATAAACATATGTACTAGGGCTCTTAAAATTATTCGAATAACGTGAAATCCGATTATTCGAATATCCAGTTTGTAACCATCCGTATGAATACTAACCGATTAATACTATTCAAATAGTCGTTCTACTGCGATTAATAGAATAGTTGCTCTGCTGCGAGTATTTGAAATACAAATTATTTGAAATCCGTACACAATTTGATTATTGAGTGTTTCACTTTTTTCAATCAAACTATGAAAGTGAATGAACGCTTACTATTCGAATAGTCGACGACTTACGATTATCCGGATACAGCAAACCGAATATTATTTAAGTAAGGTTCGGTTAATCCGGTTAGTCGATTAGTCGAATACCAAGAGTTCTAATATGTAAAATATTGGAATTGTTGGAACTGAAGAAAATTTTATAACGGTTTGAAATTGAAAGGTGAATATTAACCACGAATATTAAAAAGACTTTTATATTTAGTACTTAATAAGTTTTAATAGTTTTTATACTCTTGCAACATATTGCTAAAGAGCAGGGTTGTAAATAACGCATTAATAATAATTGAATTAAAAAATTTTTGTACGTACTTCATTCAAATAAAAAAATAAAATTTTCAGTTTTCAATTTTTAGTCCCAAACGTCGGGACTAAGAAATTCAAATTAAATTTTTAATCCAAAAGTTTTGAAATAAAAAATTTGCAGAGAATTCTAGTTTTGTTCACCTAACGATTGCTTGGATCACCTAAAACTAATCGAGATAGATATAGGTTTATGTATAGTATATAAATTATCAGGATGCCGAGATGAGTTGAAATTCGGATGTCTGTCTGTCTGCCCGTCTGTGCAAGCTGTAACTTGAGTAAAAATTGAAATATCGTCATGAAACTTCGTACACGTGTTCCTTGGACGAATCGGGGGAACAAGTTCGTAGATGGGCGTAATCGGCCACGCCCCCAAAACGCATTTAATCGAAAATCTATAAATTAGCATATTTAACTGTAATCAACATCTAATCGCAATAACCAGAGGCATCTTTGATTTGAAAATTTAAATAAGGTGGGCGTGGCCCCGACGCCAAATAGGTTTAATGCACATATCTCCCTAAACATTTAAGCTACAACACTCAAATTCACGCATGAAAAATCCTTTCAACAGCTTCAACAGTGTGAAAATATGTGTAATCTGATGATAGCCACGCCCACTACCAAATTACCAGTTTTTGGAACAACTACCAAAAGTGCGATAAATCAATAACTAAATGCGCCAGAGACATTAAATTTTACAGGAATTGTACGAGAAGACTTTCTGGGAGTCGGTATCAAAATAAACAATGGTCCTACCATATGTAAATTTTTAATATTATTCGCATGTTACGCATCAGACTGCAATCGCCATGCGTTCCCATATAACACAACTTTAAATTGCATCTGATTTTTTCACTTTCCACTATACAAAATAAACACCAATTAATATATCGGATTAGAACTTTGCACGTACAGTGCCTTTAAGTTGACCCCAGAATCTATGGTTGACATTTTACCGAAAATATCTGTCAATATGTAAGATATATATTTGAAATTAGGAGAGAATCCTTTCCTGATAATAGTAAGCCTGTATGTCAAAATTGGGTTGAATTGGGTTAATATTTCCCTTAGCCCCCATATACCTGTGGTCCACAGGCCGTGGATAAAATCAAGCGAAATAACTAAGGTACCTTAATGAATCTTAGAGAGCATTAATTTCTGTTAATATTATGGAGTAATGCCAAAAATAGATTAAATCGGCTCAATACTACACGTAATAATAAAAGATTTTCAAACTTCTAATTGGCCTTATACTGTATATATCGGTCAATATGTAAGATATCTTAGCAAAATTAACTGAACGTATAATATTGGATATATTTTTGCTTAATGCCGAAATATGTGAAATTGTTATAATTTCCATTATTATAACAAACCTTATTATATTAATGGTTTAGTGCTGAACATTAATAGAGTTGACGTTTTGCACATACACTCAACATATTCAATTTAGCCTCTTCGGTTGAGTTTATGTCACACGTAGCTCATTTGAGGATGATTTTAATATAATTTTCCTTAACGGGAACTTAATAAAATACTAAATGTGATTGTAATTCATTCACGATTGCGTCGTATAATAAATGTTGAATTCTTTTGCAACATTTTTTAATCTGAAGTTATGCCAATACCTGAAAATATTTCCGCGGCTTTGATCCTTACAGGTTGCAAGACTATAAAATGTTCGGTTACACCCGAACTTAGTGCTTCCTTACTTGCTTATTTTTATAGTACTAACTTAATTCTTTTTTTACCCCGTTTGTAAGTTTGTAACACCTAGAAGAAAACGTCGGCGACCGTATAAAATATATATATAAATGATTAGGATGACGAACTGAGTCGATTGAGACATTTCAGTCTGTCCGTCTGTAAGTACGCGAACTAGTCCCAAAGTTTTTGAGATATCGATTAGAAATTTTGCACACATCTCTCCAAGAAGCTGCTTATTTGTCGGATCGGACAACTATAGCAGATAGCAGCCATACAAACTGAACGATCGGAATAAAGTGCTTGTATGGAAGTTGTTTTTATTTGACGAGATATTTTAAAGAAATTTGACGCGCCATAGGGGCAACAGGCAATTGTGAAATCGTCGACAAAATTGTTCACACCGCGTAACTATAGCATATAGCTGCCATACAATATATATTTTGTATTTGTGAAGGGTATTATAGCTTCGGTGTAACCGAAGTTAAACTTCTTTTCTTGTTGTATTTAAAACTACTATAATTTGTATTTTTACGGAGTTTGAAGCTTAACCTTTAAGGTCCGGTATTCCAGTATTTATTTTATATATCCTGAACATATTAGGTTTACCACAAAATTTGCAACACTCAGAAGGATACGTCGGAGACCCATATACATATAGTTACTCACATATATGTACATATTTAAATGATCAGCGTGACGAGGCGATTTAGCTATGTCCGTCTATCTGTATGTCTGCTTTCAAATTTTGCACACGTCCTTTTCTCCCCAAGAAGCTGCTCATAAATCAAGTTCCTGTGTGGCAAACTTTTTTTTTGAGAAAATATCTTCACGAAATTTGGCATGGATTACTATCTAAGATAATGTTATAACACGAATAAATTTTGCCATATAACTGAACGATCAAAGTCAAGTTATTTTGTGGAAATTATTTTATTTGTAAACAGGTATTCTAGAATGGGTTGGGAAGTTAACGTTTTTTTTTTGTTTTATTTCGCTGTTGTATTTTTTTGTTATAATAATTTTTATTACTTGGGACCTATATGTATGTATATTATTTGTTACATATTGCTAACAATTTTGTTCTAACCATACAATGTATATATGTATATTTTTTTTTTTATAATATACTTCATGGTTAGGGCATATTTTTAAGCGGTAAAGTGAAACTAATTATCATATTTAATTACTAATACAGTAAAACTATACATACACAATTTGCCGTTTTAGTTTAGTTAATGTTTTTTTGAACTAGGCAACGTGATTAGGCCAAGCTGTTGTCAACAGCTAAACTCCTCTTTGTGTGTCAGAGATATTTCTTTTCGAAAGCGAG